ATTTTCAAAATAGAATTCAAGTCTACTCTGCTTCAGAGTGCCTCTAAGAAATATCGCATAATTATGACTCTCTTTCAATTAAATATGTTGAAGTCAGTCAATGGCAATCCTAATACACTTCGGATGTGATCCGAATTAACCGTATGACGTCTTAGGAAAAATCCACACGTCCAAAATTTAATCATCAACGATGAAAATCCATTTCGCTTGTAGTTTTAACTCATGCTGTCTTCAAAACTCTTCCAAGATTTCTTTCGATGTATGTCTCAAAGGTTTAATTTGTAATAAATTCAATATGGTATAATAAAGCTCACCATTGTTCCCGAGTCATTGCTGGTGACGCTGAAAGAAAATGTTCGTTCGTCTTTGCGAAAGGTTGAGCTCCACTTTACAGCCCTCTAAAACCCATAGATCTTGGTTCTCGAGATCGGACGTGGTCCCAACATCGTATGCCATCGACAATAATTGCTGGTTGCAGTATTCAAAAGCTAAAAAATATTTGCCATTTCTGCTTTTCTGCTTAACAGAACCAAAACCGTCTATCTCTTGACTTTAAAAGAAACTCGGCAATTTCTGTTCAGAAAGAAAAATCATTAGAAAATCAGCAATGTCTGCAACGCATACCCAAATCCTGTATGCCTCTTTACTTCAAAATGTATTGAGGTAAAGCAAAGTCTGAGAGTGAGCCACAACAAAACGGGACACCAACCCTATGCACGTTAAGTATAGAACCTAAAACAGGTGGATAGTCATACCACTTCATATTTATCAACGCAATACTGGGCCAGCACAATTATCCCTGGCATAGCTGAATTAATTAACTCTCTACCATCAATGGTACATTTCAGACCTCCACTCTCTCTATTACTTCATGCACTTCAACATTCAGTACCAACTTACATAATACTTCTTTCTTCAATTAAACATATCTCTCTTAATTGAGATAAAGAGGTTCACGCATACTTTTCAAAGCGACATTTTACTCCTCTTCCAAGAAAGTTCATACATCTTTTCAAATTACATATTTTTGTTTTGCACAAACACAACGAAAAGTAAAAACATTCACTCTCGTCATATTTGTGACACAATTTCTGTCCCATCCTCACTCTGATCGACTTAAAAAAGAAGAAAAAGAAGATCTATGCAAATGAAAGTCCATCATTATTTTAATTCATACAGAGGGCAACCCCCCCCCCCCAAACCAGTAGATGGGAAATCTTTTTAGAAGAAAAATTATACCATATTTGCCAAAATTGGAGAGTTATTTTTTGTTTCCTGGACGCATTATTGTGTAACAGCGTTGAAGACATCCGCTGACAGTGCTCCTCGCAACAAATAACGTATCATTCGGTAGTTTTAAAAATGGTATTATGCCCCAGCTTTGAGGGTTCGATAGCGTTTTCCAATGTATGGATATTTCTTTCCCGGGGACCTATTGGCAAGTTTTTCTATTTACCTGTTATTGATAAATGAACAGAATACAATACTTGGAATCCAGTATGTACATATTACTTGTTGCTATGTCGGACAAGCCTCGGACAAGCTTTCAGGTAGTCAAGAACAACCTTGTTTATAACAAGTATTCATAAAATTTGAATATGTTAGTAAACCGGTCTATTAGACCTACTATCAAAATATTTCCTCACCGGTCAAAATAGGTGGTCATTAATCCATTTTTCTTTATTTTACAGCTTCAGTATGGGATTTTGAATCAAGGCCTACCGGTGGTCGCTACCTTTATTACGCACCCAGTCGGAAACAGCCCATGCATGTCAGCCTAAAAAGGGTTATAATTTATGTAACTTGAACGTGATTGGTTGAAAGTTAGCTATCAGTTTTTGCTGTTCGTGTAAGACGTTCAGTGATTGGACAGTTACAGTTTATTATTTTCAGGAGTATTAACTGGAATTAATGTGTAAAACTAGAATATTTATGGAAAATGGATACTGGAACCGTGCCCACCCCCAAATTCTTTTCTTCCAGGATCGGTTGAACTTTTTTAGACCCCCCCCCTTTTTTTTTTACCTCGATCGATTACATGTAGGCCTATGTGCTCCCCAAACATCAAACTCTGGCTACGTGCCTGATTACGAGGCAAAATATGTTCATACTTCAGCTTGTCCATAGATCTATACTAATAAAAATCTTCGTAAATTTGTTATTATAGACAACATACGTGTATATTGCGTTTGAGGGAAATGTGGGTTTCATGTTAAACTGAAAGTTATTCATTCCCTCCCTTCACCATTCGTTTCCGTCCTCTTTCTTTAGATCACATTTTCTATATTCTATCTCACCTCCAGTCAAAACTCTTCTTCTGAGTATTTAGGAGGAAAAAAATCCAAGATCCAAGATTGGAAACAAAAGTTTGGCGATGTTTTGCGTTGTACGCATTCGCTCCCCACACCCCTGGGTCATCGGAAGACCTTTACCCTGTATCGGATCATCAGCTTCTCCTGGTGCCATCAAGCCATCGATGGCTAACTCCCTGAATGTAAGCAATATAACACCCCAACCTAATTATAACTATGATGAGAACAAGAAAATTTTAAAGAGAGCCTACGTATATACAAGAAAAGAGTAATATGCAACAAAAATAGACAAAATTATCAGTAGACCCTAATTGAGAAAACGTAAGGACACATTAAAACGAACCTCCTTGACCTTAAAATAAAATAGAATACTCCCAGTAAAATGATACATATTTTTCTTTTTCTTTTCCTTAGTTTGATCATTATTAATTATGATCAAGTATTAATACATCGATATACCTACCTTCGTCCTTTTTATCTTTTTCGATTCATTGTTATTATCATCATCATCATCATTATCGCCATCATCATTATCATTCATTTATTCCTTCCAATTCATGACTATAAATAGAAGCTGTGTTGGTCTTACGGAGACCCGACCTTCTCCCCACCATCTAACCCTCCATCAGCCGATAGCCAACTCACAGGCAATCTTCTCATCGAATGTATAAAGAATTCCTCAGAGAAACAGCAGCTTGAGGAACGGCTTCTTGTAAGTCTTAAGTTTACCTTAGATTTGCATTTTTGGATAATACTGATTGTTTCATTAGACCTACAGACTGTCACTACAGTGATATTTGTTTAACTTTGGTTATATTTAGTGAATGAGGTAGAGTCAGCCGTCTCTGAACCGATTTCGATCAAAGATGATTTTGACATTTAAATTGTATGTTCTTTCAAATTTGACACCCAGTTTTCAGTATCTCACAAACAATTATTTTGTGTAGCGCCCTCTGCAACAGAACTCAACTATCACTTTAACAAAAACAAAACATTATTATTCTCTCTCTATCTCCCTCTTTCTATTTATTTTTTGTTCCCCCCCCCCTCTCTCTCTCTCTCTCTCGTTACAAGAGCCATAATATTGAACATAAAGAACATTGATAAAGAACATTAAACTATACATCATTCCCCTTCCCAATACCTCAGGTCAGAAGAAGTAAGCCTCCATAAACTTGAAACGTTCTTTGAATAGTCTTCGATTCCACCTCTCTCTAAAAAAAAATGGTGTAATAAAATAATTTATCTCTAGGAGAAATCATGCAAACATGAACTATTTAATCAGTCTTGTTATAACATACATCTTTTTGGAATTCGTTTTTGTAGATAGTCTTGTACCTGAGCAAGGTCTAGTGCAAGTTTTTGGTAAAAGCTAAAACTGTGTAATGAAGTATCTTGCCACCGTGAACCAAGCTTTCCCTTTTTGCATATCCTTTGCCTTTCTCTTCCTCTCTCATTTCCTCTGTTGTTTTTTTATCTCTCACTATTAACTATCCCGTGCTCTTTTCTCCATCTTAAAAGATGATAACCTAGTGTATATCTGTAATACTTAAAGGAGATACCTGTAAACAACACTTCAGTGATGTTAAAGGTAATCATTACATATTCAACAAAGATAAATACAATAAGACCAAGAATCAATGCTATGTGTGTGATATACAGTTTTTAATATGTTACATTATCATACAAATAGTTACATAATTATAGACTTTTGTTCATGTGCAAAATAGATAATAGAAAACTATTAAAAGTAGAGATATTCATCATGATAATCCCATGGAGGGGAACAAAATTACATTTTGATATCTTTCACCCGAACAGCAGCATGTTAATTAAACAGGTAAATATAGTTTTAGTCTATATGAAAGATAGCAGTATTATAGAGTAGACTCGTAAGTAAGACACCGTAGAATCAAGGAAGGCATTAAAAGGACGGATTGCACTTATACATATAGACATACTAAAAATCAGTTTCAACTACAGAAAATATCGTCTTTTTTTAAAAATACATACCGGTACACCTGGTCGGCAACATTACAATTTCTGAATCTTAGGAAAAGGGAAAAAATAGGCATATCCCTACATTCTACATCATATATTAATAAAGGAACTAAACTTGAATACCATAGCTCACATCTACAATGTTAACACCAACTTTGAGACATTTTGTTATTTTCTACATAGCATCACTTAACAAGATAACAACAGAGCAGATATGTACATGTATATATACAGTATAGACTGAGAAAATTGTACACAGCATAATTTCACAAAGCAATCTACATTTAAACCCAAAAAGATATTTAATAACTTCACTACATGAGATATTTTCTCTAAATGTTTTGCTTTTAACTTCATGGAATGAATAATGATAAAAGCGTGTCAAAACTGAATAATGGCATACTTTGAACTCAGATTTATGACCCCTTCTACATTAACATTGTGAATTTCTAGTGGCCAAATATTTGGAATGCAAAAATGATATCCCCCCCCCCCCCCTTCGTGTGTACAAGCCTGAACTTAATAAACCAACAAAACTACTTGTATAGTTAAAAGGTTGTTCAACTTGAACAAGAAATAATGCTTATTACTTATTAATAACTCACAAAAATGCAAGTTCCTCACAGTTAAAAAGGTCTAGGCACTGCAGTGTAAGGTTTAATAATCTGAATCTTGAAACAATTTTGATTTCTTCAGATAAATTACCCTTTAAACAATTGAAGTCTTTGTTATTAGAACCTCTATATTTTCACACCAAAGATATAGCTTAATAATTCTTATTCCATTGTTTCAGAGGAATGAAACATTTAGGCACTAGAAATATGTATAACAAATCAACTATGAAAACAGACACTATACAATGAGAAACATAGGCGATATATGTATTTCTTCACTACTTCGTCTTTTAACTGCTAGAAAATCAAATTAAATTAAATCAATGAGCATTTTTATTACTGAACCTTAGGATAAATAACTGGACCAGCAATCAATCAGATTTCATGAAAAAGTAACCAGCTTAAAAGGTGCTTTGCAGTGTAAGTGGTCTCAAATTCAGTTAGGTATACTTGTTAAAACTCTTCTGAATACTGGCAATAAATATCAAATACTATAGCTAAAATGAATTCGCATCATATGATATAAAATATTAATATTTTCTTTGGACGAAACTATGAGCAGTCATGACATCAAATATGGACGGAATCATTTGGAACTCATGATTGGAAGGAAACTTGTGTATAATATCATAAATGTTTCATGTACATAACACAGTTTTTGTTCTAAAATAATCACAACTTTGATCAACTGTAATACAAAAATATCTGATTTTCAATACATAATTCAAATTCACATTAAATCTCTGATTGTATTGTTCACAAGGCTTCACAGTATTATATTATACAAGAAAAAAATGTAATACCTTTCACCTGATTTGTCGAAATATATCATGGAATGGACGGTTCTTGGTAGTCATCTTTGGTGCATTTGATTTCAAAGAAAAAATGAATGTAAAAGACCTGGAAAATCTTCTCATTTATTTCTACTTTAGAGGAGAAAATACTAAACACTTCAAATATTGTTATCATATAATATGGTAAAAAACTAAGATAATACTTCACACTTTTTATATGTCAACAAGTGTTAATACCAGATATCTTAACATTCAAGTAAAATAACAAAAGGGTGAAAAACTTTAGTACTACAATATTGTAAGTGTAAACAAACCAATAAAACTCACCTACTTAAAAACAAAAAGTATGGTTAGTTCATCAAGGTCTTCTTACATCAATGTAACAGTTTGACATTTTAATAAATGTTTTTCAAGAATTTCCCTTACTTAAGCAAAAATACTGAGTGGTTGATATAATGGCTTCAAAATCCAACTATAAAGTTGACAACCACAAGAGAAATAAATTAATCACTGGAAAATGACTATCAGAAATCAGAAGGACTGAATAATTCAAAATATTAGGGCATTTCCAAGAAGATAGTTGCCGTAGAAGCATTCTAAGTACTGTTTAGTGACATTAAGGAAAATTTTGTTAATTTGTTATGATTTGCTGCTTTCATTTGTTTCAATTGCTTCTCCAACAAGCTAATAAGTTTATGACACATATGGATTATAATTAACTACATGATCATCAATTTCACTGCAATTACAAACATAAATGAAATTGTTTTTCATCCGATTTCAAAACAAACAAAAACTTCATCAATCTTTTCATTCTTCATGAAGAATAAGAATTTGCAATATTTTAGACACATTATTCATCCTATGCATTTCTGAAATGCTTGTGAATGTATGTGCAACCCAAAAACTTTTATATTTTAGATTACTTTAATAATATTAATCAATTACTTCAGTCACATACAATATCATTCTCCAAAATATAACCATATTTGGCAGATTACACAATCAAGATACAAGATCAAATAAAAATAAGAGATAAGTCATAGAAAGTTGCGGTGGGACCTTCAAATTAAATTGATAATGAAAGAATCTGTTAAAAAATAACAAATTGATTACATTGATTAAATTAAAATTCTTTACCGAGTACCAACCCATAATCAAAACAATTTCCACAAACTTACAGGTCCTGGACAAGTCTAATTGGAAATACACTGACCCAGTTGGGTCAAAATGGTAATCCTAAACTTATAGGTCCTGGACTACTACTGACAGTCTTGGAACTGCACTGACCCTGTTGGGTCTAGGTGGTGTATGTACAGAGTCCAGGGACCTGGATAGATTGTTCTTAAAGGGCTTCTGATATGTGGATCCAGGAGTAGAGCTAGATTCCCTGGTGCTGCTGGCCCTCTCGCTCCGAGGGACCTGGATGGAGCCCACTTCGCTGGCTGCGTCGTTTCCGTCATTGCCATCAAAGACCTGCAAATAAACCACACAAAAAAGGATGTTAAAGGCATCGTTTAACAATGTTAAATCTGAGATGCACGGCCCTACTGGTTATCAGTGTCTGTGATATGGTGTATTATTGAAGGCCTAAAAAAATGCGCCTCAAAATGATCAAGAAGTGCCTCAAAAAAGTAAAAACCTTGGAGTGACCGGTTTTACCATACTCGTTTTCCCCAATAGACTGTAGAGTTATGAAAACTGTTTGGCAAACGCAAAATTTGATTTCGATTTTCAATCATAAACATCTTGGTAATCAGACAGGCGATCAGCTTGTAAAAGTCATGGGGTTCCTGACTGACCTAAAGGTCTATAATTATATCATTGCAGCATGAGCTAAATCAAGGATTTTTTTAGAGGATCTAAGACAAAGTTACCGGATCCCTTTAATGCAATGCGTTGCATTTTCTATCCATTCTCCCGTATAGTAAAGTTAATTTCTTACTTTTTCCCTCACCCAAAGGCTCTCCGAGAGACGAGAGACAAGGGGGTATTTCTGAATAGGCCTACGAGTCTGTCATGTGCAGACTTGTACATATATTAATGGTATTTCCACCAAATCTGGTGTCAGTGAATTATGGCCTTCTGCACATGGAAACTTGATTACCGTACCCTCTCCATTTAATGAGCTGTAGTAACCCAAAGTAAAAATCTGTGTTTTGCATTATAAATTGTTAAAATATGGGATATACCGGTAAACAAATATAAGAAACTTTACCATGTACTCTTGATCATGTCTTCTATTGATGCATCCATGGATTAATGTTGTCACATCTTTTTAATTCTGTGTAATGAATTACTTTTCCTTGAGCATGTTAAATAAAAACAAGCTAAATAGACCGGTTTTACAAACATAATTATTCAAATTTATGGATGTTTCTATCCAGAGGACCTATCCTGAGGACCTAGTGACAAGCTATTCCATTAACCTGTCATTAATGAATGAACTACAACACTTGGAATCCAGTCTGGCATTATGTCGGACAAGCCTCAAACAAGCTTTCAAGTTGTCCATAACAACCTTCATCTAAAAAGTATGCATCTATTGAACATACAGGTAGTTTTTCTATTCAGTGCATTTCCATATCAATGTGAATGTGTTATGTATGTTTATAGCATTAAAAAAAAAAACTATTTGTGTTAAAAAAACTTAGTAACGAGGACTGGGAATTTTTATATAGTTTTTAAATAGTTATAAAATTATAATTCCAAATTGATTGCGAGCAGTTCTTTGAAGTTTTACAGTCTAAAAAACACATCTCTAATAAATAAATTCTTATTTTGAAAATCACAACTTGTCACTTTCACCACTTCAGTTCAAATTGTGTGCTTGAACAACAACTTTCATAAATCTCGCTGCTTTTCTAAACCTTTAATTTTCATTCAGATATGCTAAAGTGAATGTGCGAACTAACTATTAAAAAAAAAATCTAATTCAATGGCTAAATATTAAAATGAAAGTGCCAGAAAACAAAACTTTTTACTTTTGGAATAATTACTAAAATCATTATGTTAATGTTATGGAAGGAAACTTTTTGCTCCTTGAGAGTAAAATATTAATATTAAATTTTATTTGCAGAGTTTGGGTTAGAGGGGGGGGGGGGGGGGGGGGGGGGGGGGGGGGGGGGGGGGGGGGGGGGGGGGGGGGGGGGGGGGGGGGGGGGGGGGGGGGGGGGGGGGGGGGGGGGGGGGGGGCACTGATAAGGTGTGTATGTGAGAGAAGGTTGTAGCATCTTCTTTTCACATTTCGTTCCCCCCCCCCCCCCCCCCCCCCCCCCCCCCCCCGAAATTGATTAGAGGGCCAACCTAAGTGATGCCACACGTTCATTCACAGTAGTGCCACCTAGCCACGCTTACCACAGCAGTACACAGACCTATAACTTCACATGGTAAACATGTTAAACTTCTTACATTTTCCACTCTATTTTGCATCAGCAGTATAAACACCAAGTAGATGACGTAACTGCCGCAGGATAGCAAAGTCCCACCCCAATTCACATTAATAGCCCTACATGACTCATAGGCCTTTCATAGGCTTTATGTGAAAACGTGACCACACCATAAAACAGCACAATGAACAACCGCAAAAAGTGAATACTACCTGTGCACACAAGATTATGCTAAAACTGGTTTGTTAATCATTTTCATAAGTGCTTGTACCATGGTATATATTAGTATCTATAGATTATCATATACCATTATATACTATATCATGATAAAGTGGTACGTGATATATTAGTGCTATTAGCAGACACTATCACTCTTGTTAATAGCTGACCTCTACTATGGTATGACTTCAGCTTGAGCCCATTCCTTTGTAAAGCATGACAAGAAGAGATGATAAACCCAAGGATACAAAAAAAAAATATTAACGAAAGGTTACCAATCATAAATGTACCAAAACCACAGAAAAAGCAAGAAAAATACCCCATCAAAAACAATAAATACACACACAAAATGATGGCAATTAAGACTTTCAAGAAACCAATATTTAGGTCATTTCAATAACGAATGTATTGCCTGCAGAATTATTTGTGGAAATCTCATGCTGCTGCCCCCATGGAATACCAGCAGCAGCAATATACTTGCAGCTGAAATTGGGCTACCACTGAGCCATATTTTGTCCTTTTTCTCTGTATGATTACTTTGTATGTATTTTATCTGATTTATCTTATTATACAGAAATAAAAACAACAAATTGTCATATTTGCACGTTTTGAAAGGTGACGTACAAGGCTATTGAAAATGCCTTAGGATGAACTTTTGAGAGTCTTTGCGATCGTTTTAAGAATTTTAAATAGAGAAGAAAGAAAGAATAAAAGGAAATTGAAAAAGAAGATCATCATGAGAAGCAAAACAAAATAGATTTAAATCTTGTGTGTATTGGTGATACTCATACAGCATGGGAAGCTCACAAATTGCAGAAAGCTCTCTGTGTATGCCCACATCGTAATACCCCAAAGTGGTCCTAAGTTATATTATTTTACTCACCCTTTTGTCACTCTGAGTTTTCAGTATTAGAGAAATTGCTTTAGTCAGTAAAATGTTAATCAGCTTGAATCATTGAATCTCATGGCAAAAATAACTGTTAAAAGGGTTAAATTAAACAATTTGTAATATTCCTCTAACATATAACTGATGAGCTATTAGTTGAAGGATTTTCTAACATTCCTTCAATTTATTGGGTAACATTGAACAATTCTCTGTGAAACATACATGTAGTCTTAGAAACGTAAACAAATACAATAAAAGCAACTAGTGTAAGCAGTTTAGAAATGCCATGACAATCAAACAAATATTCATCCTTTTGACTTGTATAACAGCACTGCACTGCTCAATGCATCACTTATCGAAAACCATCATTGTCAAATTAAGTACAAGGACATATTACAAACATTTTTGTTACTTCAAGAATACAACACTGCTCAAATCACAATCATGTTAATGTGTTAAAACATCATTAGTGCAGTTTTCATCATTTTTTTTTTCATAGGGTACAACTAATTCATCAATACAAATACACATTCAGATATGTGGATACATGTACATCAAGAATGAATTAAATAACGGGATAAATATAATTTAAATGAAATTATAATGTATACGATGGGAAAAATGAAAAATCCTGTTTAATAGTGAATAAATTCAATAAAGTGAAATGTTATAATGAAATTATAATCACCAACATCACCATCTAACTTATCATCATCATTATCATCACCAGCTTTTCCACCATCATTAAAATCATTAAGATTGCCATCAGGATCATCATTATAATCATCCTATCATAATCATGTAATCACAATTGTTGTCATTATCATCATCACCATTATTATTCTGTAATCATCATCATCATCATCATCATCATCATTATCATCATCATCATCATCATCATCATCACCATCATTATCATCACCATCATCATCATCATCATCATCATCATCACCATCATCATCATCATTGTTAATCATCTTCGATATCATCACTAGCATTACAAATATCACCATCACTATCTTCATCATTACCAACACCATCGTCATCATCATCATTTCCAAAATTCCACTTTGTCCATCAACTGTCATCATCATCACCACCATCATCAATATCATCATTGTTGCACTTAGCACTACCATCACCACCATCATTCCAACCATAACCTCCAACATCAACATAATCAGTATGCTACAATCTACAAATAACTTTCAACATTTCTTTAAAGATGAAAAAAACATTATGATTCCAATAATTTGCCAGCATTGATGAAATGAATTAATGTCTATTGTTATGGATTTGAAAAATGATGATTGTGCATCCAAGCGAAACCCAGAAATCATCAAAGTGCAAGAGAAAGAGGTGAATCTTACCTGTTTCTATAAAGTCCATGAGAAAGGAAGTATTTGAAAGATTTACGATTTACAATTTACAGTACAAAGGATATACAATTGACAATTTGGACAAATAAATTCACATATTAACCTCAATAAATCCTCTAAACTCTCTCAAAGTTATCAACCCAAAGTATAGAGGACTGGAAAACAACCCATAACCAGGAAAACCAAACACTCCAAAGTATGAAATTTGATGATATTTACAGCCGCTTTTTTCTATGTGCAATATGCCACAAGGATGTAGAAAACAAAGAAAAAGAAATAAAATGAGTTTTTCTTTGAAGATATTTTTGGATGAATACCCACCCTACTAGAGATTTTATAATTCTATGAGTGAAACTTATTTGATTTTTTATTTGGAAAGGTTAAATTTGAAACTATGATCTTTATCATTTATCCACATATAATATGTTAATGCTTTATAAACTGGTACTGTTTATCCAGATATAGTTAATAAATCCAAATATAACAAATCTTGATATAACAAATTTGACGCTCATTAGCATCAAAGTGAATATATTTGAAGTATTTGCAAAATTAGGTTTAGTATAGTCAAATACTTGTTAATCAATATTCTTGTATTAAGTTCATGATAGATTAATTTTAGTTGACATGCTATATTCAAAAGATCAGCATGCACATGTACATCATGCAGAATAAATGTTTGACTTTATTTTTGTTTAATGAAATAAAATGAAACAGAAATATGTAAAGACAAATCTTGAGCATGCAATGTAAAGGAAGGAATGAACAGATTTAGAGGAATGCATGCATCTCATTGTGAAGGGTATAGAAAATGAATTGTTGAACAAAGTCATCACCGTAAAGCCAATGGTTTCATACAGCATTAGAATTGGTTCCATGACACATCCAAATGGGAATTGCATGTGAAAGTTTCAACATCTTTGGACAGTCAAAAAAAAATGGGGGCTAGCTTCAATCTGCCACTACTTGTCTGACTGAGGAAGGCCGGTGCCTGAACCACAGACATTGAACAAAAAATGGGGAGTTACCTTTTAGATGTGCCACAGAATTAATTTCTAAGCTAAAGATCGAGTGTAGGTTTGAAACATTTCATCGCTGGTTTTGCAAACTGACGTACGCATTTATGTACAGGAGATACGGTGATAGGCTTACCAATGTCTTTAATATTTTATTATCGTCATCACATTTGCATTTTTTAATCAGAATCTATGCTGGCACAACTTACCTTCCATTGCAAGCCATCGCCGATCGAGAAGGTCATCCCAGTCCCACCTGTGCGATTCTGCGGTGGGTTGTTCACCAAGGGCAGCTTGAATTCGGTGCTAGGCTCCTCCATTTCCATGAACTTTCTCAGCCGGTCTCTGGCCAGTTTCTCATACTTTGAATCTAAAAGAATTAAGGCAAGCACAATGATCATTAATTTGAAAGAATAGCCCAATAAAAAAATCCTATTCAAAATAAATTTCAGAGAGTATTACTGATCTTGAATTACAAAAACTCCTTACCTTTGAAATAAAAACTACTGATTTCCCTTGTTTATTTCTATAATTTTCTTCATCACTTGAAACAACTTTCTATAACTTTACTGCATCACCCCTTGCACAAGTGGTACCACACATACAGTTTGATCACAAAGATCTAAATTACGGTTCTTCTTCCCTTTTTCACCCTTTTCTTTCAAGAGTATTACAGGTTCAACATTCATTAAACATGTTTGTACTCTTCTCATACTCTGTTCACATATGTTGCACCTAACTTGTCGGAAGAAGAAAAAAAGGGGGTGGGGAGGGGAAGCCACGTCAAAATATGAACATTTTATGTGTAAATGAAAAGCACAAGGAGGTGCAAGTAAACAATGTGGATCATCATCATCATCGTTTAGCATTCATTTGTCCCATGCGGTAGGGTCAGACTTTTTGTTTCCCTATGGCCCTTCTCCAAGCCTTCCGGTCTTTGGCATCTGCCTGGATGAGGCAGGGGCCTGTTTCATAAAACTTGTTATCTATAACAACTGCTAAATTTCTATGACAAATTTGCTCTCAGCCAATCAGATGCCATGATTTCAGTAGTGTATAACAGTAGCTTGTGACTTGTTGTTATTGATATCAAGTTTTATGAAACAGGGCCTAGATGCTCTCATGTCTTCTTCTTGTGTCTCCTTTATGGTTTTGAGAGGTCTACCATGAGGGGGTTTTGAGCCTCCAACCTGGAAGTTCATTGCTCTCTGAAGCCATTGGCCCCCCCCCCCTCCCACCTGGCCGTTTTACAAAGTGAACATACTTTTGTTTGATTTGTTATTGTTCATCATTGTATTTTGTTTGTTATAGTGCTTAGAGACTTCGGTGGAAAACACTTCATAAGCACCGTTGTTATTATTAATATTATTGCCCATCCTTATATCTTGAGAGATTTTAGTCAGCCCTAAGAATTGGAGAAAATCTTCATTTTTCATTTTGGCAAAAATAACATGATAGTCCGAGAATGATTCAAATCAGATTGAAACATGGCTGAGACTCGTCACCAATGGCAGCTAGTGAAATAGTCCACCAGTCAGAACTTACACGGCAGTCTGTCTTGCTGGTAGGAGGGCTGCTGGTAACGCTTACTGAACGAAGCAAAGTAAGGCAGCATCTCCTTGAACAAGGCGTACTGGGCGTCGTCAAAGAAGTTGGGGTTGTGAGGATCTTTACCGGTGTCCTTCAAGAAGATGTCTGCTTTCTTCATCACTTTGCTGGACATCTCGGTGGATATGTCAATCTAGATTTTGTGCAAAGAGAAATCAATGGTGAGAAGTCACTTTTGTAGTCAAAGCTCTATTACTAAAACAAAGCTAAGGCAGATAAAGTAAATCTGATATGCGATTTACAATTCTTTTTCTATAGTTTATTAATTTAAACTACAATGCTATTTGTTGATATAGCATCGCCATACAAGTAGACAATTTTAAAAAGAAGTTTAGATCTATAACATACCTCATTGCCCTCCCCCCCCCCCCCCAAACAAAGGGGTGGGGGAGGAGAGGGCCTACTTCCTTCACAGCTGTAATGATGTTCTTTTATACTTTTCTTTTTCATTTTTCCTTTTCTTTTAACTTATTCACACAATTGAATTGAAGACATAAATTTTGTTAGTCTAATGGGAAAAAAATATTCAACAAGCTTCTCTAACCAAGCATTGAAGTAATTTATCTGAGAAACAAGATCAAACAAAAACAAGCCAAACCACATAACGTGGAATAATTGTTGCGAAAGGGTTGAAAGTCAAAAAGAGAAACTTACCAGAATACCAGAGTTGGACAGAGGAGAATCAACAAAACAATCCAAAATGACTTCCACCTTTCTCTTGAGTAGAGCCATGTCCATGCGGGAATGGCAAGCTTCCTGTATGAAGAGAATAGAATCTAAATAAACGTTCTGCTTTAAAGTCCCACGGCATTAGTTTGGCCAGGTGGTTATCTCATCAAATCAGCTCTTAATTAACATTACAAAAAGGGGGACCAATGGTCACCGCTTAGGCATTGTTTGCTATATAGAGGGCGCTAGTAGCAATAAGTATAGTGCAGTATACTTTTTGGGAAAATTCAATTGGTTAAAGTTTTTGCAATCTCTAAATTACTATATGTGTCTTCTATAATTTCGGTACCACCAAGTGTTTTCAAGGAAGTGGAAAAGATATGTTTTAATTTTATATGGAATGGACAGGATAAGATAAAAAGGAATATTTTATATTTGAACTATGATAGAGGGGGTTTGAAAATGTTGAATTTCAAGTACATGATCTATGCACAGCGTGTAGTGTGGATTAAGAAACTGCTTGGTGGCAATAATGATATGAAATGGAAACAATTTTTCAAATATATATTCAGAACGGTAGGAGGAAAGTTAATATTTCTTTGCAATTATAATCCCAAAACAATTAACATTAAGGCACCCAATATATACTTGGATTTTTTTGAACATCTGGAATTATCTAAAGGAGAAGGAATATATTGTAAAAGAAACACATAATGAAAATCAAATTATCTTTAACAATATTTTTATTGAAGGTAGGATAAATTCTTTTAATGCAAAATTATTTCATGTGAACATTTTTCAAGTTAAACATTTGACGGACGCTTAAGGTGATATGAGATCAGGGGACTATTTCATAAGGAAAGGTCTTAATGTAGACGATGTGTTTTTTCTTAATGATCTATACACCAAATTGCCAGCTGCCTGGAAGATTAAGAGAATTTGCAGAGGGAGAGATGATACTCTAAATGACACTGTTGATCTTTCCAACATTAACTTTATCATTAACAAAACAGTGTATTCTTTTGAGTCTGTCTCTTCCAAAATGCTCTATAACATTTTTATTGCTATAATACAATATGCATTTGCTTTTAAACATCCAGAGGTAATAGCTTTAAATCTAGATAAGTCGGAAACTACAACATGTTTCTCAATCCCTAGATTTTCCACTCTAGATGGGAAGTTAAGGGAATTTCAGTATAAACTTTTACATAACATCATCTTTTGTAATGATAAATTGTATCTTTTTGGATTAACACAGTCAAATTTATGTTCCTTTTGTAGAAAAGAAGTAGAAACCTATCGTCATATCTTCTTTGAATGTTCTGAAGGGTCCAGAATATGGAATGAGAGGGGAAACAGTTTAAAGATGTTTCAGTTTCTTAATATGCAATGGATTGATGTGTTGCTTGGTTTCAGAAAAAATATGAAAGATAATATATTGTTAAATCATGTATTGATTTTGGTAAAATATATGATTTACAGTAATCGTAAAAAAGGAAAGTTCCCATCTAGTAAATAAATATGTAAGGCTGTAGAGAACTCAAAAAAAGTTGAACATGAAAAAGCAAAATTAAAGGACAAACTGCCAATACATTATCAAAAATGGGAAAATTTTACCCCTTAAGGCAGGGGAACTGATTGTATATATATTGTAATTCCTGTTTCCTGTTCACTCCCTCACTTTCTCATCGATCCGGACACTTACCTGCTATCGTGTTTGCTTGTTGTTTATATTTTATATTTTTATTTTTTTAAATAACGGTATAGTTAAAGACCTCCACTCATTATATGTAAATATAACAAATTTTGTTATCATGGTTTATGAAGCAGCACCTTCACCTTATACTTTTTGTTTATATAAGAAAATCTTTGTTCAGATTGCTTAATTTATATCGAACTAATTAATTTGCATATCATGTTGTAAAAATTGTTCCTTTTTATAATGTTGTATCCAAGTATTACAGTCACCTTTTCCTTTTTTTAAAGGATTTGGAGCACATTCTGTACACTTGTTCGAATGTGTTCTATATTAGTTTGGATACTTATGGAAAATATTTTTTAAATATGTCTGTGTTTATAATGTATGAGACAATGTACTACATGTATGTTTATACTGTAAGAACAATTGTGTTCCTATTCATCATTTTGTATAATTATGAAGATCTGAATAAAGGCAAAAAAATTAGGAACAGTATAATGCTGCAGAGGCTGCCCTGGGTAAACAGGACAAATCCTGGCTAACTCGGCTCAAAGACAACTCAGCCCAGCTGCAAAAACAGACAGTTTTTGTCAATTTACCCTAACCCTAACTCTAACCCTAAACCTAATCCTAAACCCAACCCTAAACCTGCAAAAACTGGCCATTTTTGCAGCTGGGCATAGTTGTCTTTGAGCCGAGTTAGCCCGACTCCAACAGGACATACAGTACTTGTATCATCACTATTCAAGACAGCGAAAATTCCTTATTTCTTCACCTTAAATCGCTGTGCCTCCAGATAAAAGACAAGATCCTTGTCCAGAAACTCTGCTCCTCCGTCCTTGCCATTGTAGTCCATGAGGTAGCGATGGAAGTACATGAGCTTGTGGGACGGGATCCCTCTGGCCGACTTGATCAAGAGGGTCTGGAACTCGTTCTTGTCCTGGGCGGTGGGCATCTGTTGACCAGATTGCTGCCGGAGGTCAAAGGTGAAGAAAATGTCATTGTCATGGAAACGGTGACAGAATGATAAAAAAACTACAGTTGCAAGCATTTGCAAATATCTTTTATGTTGGTTTTATCATTAATAAATAATGCATTGGATAAAGGAAAAATTAGCCTCATCTCAACTACACATATGCTATAATTAGGATTAAGAGTTAGGATTAGGATTAGAGTTAGGATGAGGATTAGAGTTAGGGTTAGGCTCAGGGTTATGGTTAATTCTGTGGTAGGGTATTACTAGTATTCAGGGTTTTCTTTACTACAATATGAATGCAATGTGCTATTGAGGTCTCTGTAATATGTCCACACATTTGAAAAGGTGATACACTTTTATGTCAGTTGATATCTTATTAGTACTGGGTATCAACCGTGTTGATAGTTGACAAAGAAAATGAGAGAGATGCCAGTATGGTCTTTGAAGAAGGAATGTCAGTCCAGCTTTATGTGTTTGGACTATTTCGCTCTGTATGAGAGCTGAAACAATTACTAAATAGCAACGTTTTCTATTCATTTATTTATTTATCATCACATAAAATGGCATCAATAAGGGTCAACAGACCCAATGAACACCTTTCACAATTCAAAGATATTGTAAATTCATTTCTTTTGGTGACTTGAGGGATTTCTATCATATTGTACTTACATCTCAGCATTGTAAATCAAATATAAAAATGAATGTTACAATCACCAATTTTGAAAATACTGCAAGTGCATACAAGTTGCCAATTTCAAATCTTTTGCTGCACTTCCACACTTTTGTTGCAATGAAACTGGATATTGTGCAGTCATATGTGCTCTTCAGTGCATGATATGTGATCTTAAGCAATTCTCAAAATATCACACAATAGAGTGGTGAAGTGTGACGTCATCAAAAATCTATTGTTAGAATTTCTCCAATTTTTCTTCATTTTCCGAAAGAGCTCCGGCGCCTAACCATTAAGAGCATATAACACAAAGTTCCTATAGGAAATATATTTATTCAAATGGTTATATCTCGGCCAATACTTAACATCTTTAATTGGTTTTCAACATTTGGACATTATTTTTGGTGCTCTTTCGGAAAAAGAAGAAAAAATTGAAAAATTTTAAAAATAGATTTTTATGACGTCACAGCTTCGGTACTCTATAGAGCAACTCATCATTTATCAATATATACAGAGGATATATATATATGGAAAGCAAAAACTAATTCACAGAGAGTTTAAAAAGCTTTTTAAATGATGTCACATGAAAGAGAGAGAAGGAATTTTTTTTTACCAAGGCAGAAATTCTTAAAAAACCAGCACCTTACAAATTCCCCCCAAAAGGCAGACTATATAATTGTATTATAATGATAATAATAATAATATAATTATATGCTACAGTTATACCTTTGAAAAAAGTATCAGCGCAATTAAGAAAAAGAAAGAAATGAAACAAATAGAAATGCTGCAGGGAAATCTCTGACTAAAGAATACATACATCAATTAATCAATCAAATAAATTTGTTTTAAAGGGATCGTTTAACAATGTTAAATCTGAGATGCACGGCCCTACGTGTTATCAGTGTCTGTGATATGATGTAATATTGAAGCCCTAAAAAAATTGCGCTTCAAAATGATCAAGAAGTGCCTCAAAAAAGTTAAAATCTTTGGGTGACCGGTTTTACCATACTCGTTTTCCCCAATAGACTGTAGTGTTATGAAAACCGTCAGGCGAACGGTTTTCAAAATTTGTAATTCCAATCATAAATATCTTGATAATCAGACAAGCGATCGGCTTGTAAAAGTCACGGGGTTCCTGACTGACCTAAAGGTTTATAATTATCATTGCATCATGAGCTAAATCCAGAATATGTTTTCAGAATCTGAGACAAAGTTACCGGGTCCCTTTAAGAGCAGTTTTGAATTGTTGAACTGTCTTAAATTGCCATAACATACATATCTAAATTGGTTAAGAGCTGCATAAAGCTGGTTATGTGAGAGCATATGAGAGACGACTGAGCAAGCACCACTGCATGTTTTATTCCGCATAAATATAAAGTTGTTAAATGGCAACAAACATACTTTCCACTTGAGCTTAACTTTTTTTTAAAAATATGGCCCCTGCCTTGTACATTTTGTGCTGCTGACGACAAAAGTCATACACCCTTGCAAATACAACACATTCCAAAACAAAACACAAAAGAGAGATAGCAAGAGAGAGAAAGAGAGAGTGAGAGGAAGGGAGAGAGAGAGAGGGAGAGAGAAAGAGAGAGAAAGAGAGAGAGAGAAAGAGAGAAAAAGAAAAAGAGAGAGTAAGACAGAAAGAGAGAGAAAGAGAGAGAGAAAGATGGAATAACAACATGATACAAAGATCATACATATTAGCAGCCTTACAAACAGAGATAACAGTTTCCAGCAAAAACAAGAAGACAAAAGCAGGAGGTCGGAATACAAACAAGAATTATAAATAATTACATCATTTACATGTATACAGTTGTTATTTGCAGTTCAGCGGAACGGACATCCAACATTTGGTGAAGCGACACATTTTGACCGAAAAAAAGTGAATATTTGTAAATTATTAGGGTTATTTAAACAAGAAATACACACAGTTATTCAATTATTAGATCAAATCTACATGCAATAAATACTACACAAAATATTAAAAACCACAAAACACATGATTTCAATTATTGAATTAAATAAAATACATCAAATAAACATTTATACATACATGTTATCAAAAACAACAAAACACACAGTAATGCAATTATTTAATTAAAAGTTTAGACATCAAATAACCACAGTTAATTAGTTCTAGGTTTACTTACTTTATGCTGTTATCACAATGAAATACAATGAGGACGTAGTTAATAGGAAGGAATGGTGAGTTAGAGTTTGATGAAATGAAATGGCATGACAATGATGACAATGATGAGATTGAATTAATAACTCACATAAGTAACATTTTTCTCAAAGAAAGATGAAAGCTACACTAACAATCAAAAGTACAGATGTGATGAATTAGAATCTGATGAAAGTGAATGATAATGATGAAAATAGGTTTCAGATTTAAGTTGGTTAAATCTAGAAAAATACACAATGACACACATTTCTTTCTCAGGTATGATTTTACAAAAAATGAAAGAATTTACATGAGCACAAATGGGATAGGTTAGAAACATTAATGAAAATATGTACACAAACTACCAATTGATGATGAATCGAACTTGAACTTAATCCGACTATTTAAATTTATTGCTTTCGTGACTGTTCTCCATTTCATATAAACAATAATCAATAATGGATATTACGGCAAGAACAAATGGAGCATCATCAAAACAAATACGTTAGGATTCACATAAAAAAGTTATATGTACCTGCAGCAGAATTAAATTATGTTGCATGGCCATTAAATGAATGTTTTTGACAATTTTAATACTTGTGCAGTTAGGTGGGGAGACAAGATAATATGCCTTCCTTATACTGTAATCCAAAATAAAAGTTTAGTACTAAAGTAAGTTAAAACATCACAGAAGTGATTAAACAACATAGACAAGTATCATATCAACTTGGACAACAATTATACAAAAATATGGTTATTTGATGATTGTTTTATTTCATCTTTTGTCATTTTTGTTAGCATGTGCAGACAGATTGAATATAATTGAATAAAAGAAGGGGAAAGAAAAGGCAGAGTGCATGCTTATTTGATGATTTTTATTATTATTATTATTATTTTTATTTATTTATTTATTTATTTTTTTTTTTTGGGGGGGGGGGGTCATTTTTGTTAGCTACTACAGTCTACAGACAGATAAAATTGAATCGTATTACATTTAAAAAAGGCAAAATTTTCATTTTTGTTATGGTTATTCAATTCTGATGTTGTCATTGTGTTAGTTCATCCAGACTTATAAACATAATCAAAATAATATGAAAAATAACAACAACAGAAAGTGCAGGTTTATTTGATGGTTACTTATTATTTGTCATTTCATTAATGTTTGCAAACTTTGCATACACACAAATGTTATAGAATTAAAATTAAAAAACAACAAAAAGACAAGTTTTTGTCTTCAATAATTTGTTTTGTTAGTTGGTGCAGAGAAGCAGACAGACAGGAAGCCACAGCAGCAGAAAAGTCTCTCTTACCGGTCCCTTTCCTCTGCGTCTTCTCTTATAAGCTAGAACCATACTCTGAGTACTCTCTGTCCTGCTCGTAGCCGTCCCACCCTCAGCTCGCTCACCTCCTGGCTCCTCTCCAGAATCCATGTAACTCTAAAATTTCATTTTTGTTCATTATTTCATTTTTTTCATATTAATTGTGGAAGGCATTATGGAATAAGCCCTCAGAGGTTGGTCAATAATAAAACAGGTTTTGATATATACTGTTCACAACCTGAATAAATTGTTCACAATTTATTCAGAAATTGTACACATATTGTCATAAAGAAAACAATGAAATAGACATTTTTCACGATTTGTTCAAAAAGCGTTCACATATTGCCATAAAGAAAACAATGGAAAATATATATTTATACATGAATTATTCACAGCTGAAGAGTATATATATATATATATATATATATATGAGTAACCTAAAATACAGTTTACACTGGTCATTCTTCACACTGAATCAATAATCTAAGGAAGAAAGTCTATGTGTATGGCAGGATACATGAGCAACAATGTCATGATACTTCAAATTAAAATCATAACATTTGAGGAGTGTGCCACTTATGTCTTGAAATGAAACTAGACAATTTATTTTTGGCACATACATGTACCCTTGTGTATTGTGATTATTTGAATAATCACAAAAAGGATACTGTTAATGTCACTCAGATTTGACATCAAATGAATCACAATTGACCTCCTTGAGTCCTACTCTATTCTTTGAAATCATACTTGTGTATGTCTAAACAAAAGTGGTTTACTAGGTTTAGAATGAAGGCTTCAAGTTGTACAAAGATACATACAAATATCTACAGTATCTACAGTGAAATTGAATTGGGAGGATATCACAGTAAAATACAATACTTTCGGTTGATACTGGAAAACACATGTACCGTATGTGAAAGTGTCTGGAAATAAATACTGATGAGTTGTTACTCAGTTGCAATGACAAATTAGTATACATGTATATGAATCCTAAATCATTTCATATACATTTACACTTGAATCTATAGGCTATTTTTAGTAATATCTCAATGGTCAGAATGCAAATTGCACATGTACATTAGTTGTTGCTAGGTAGGACAAAAAAAATGGCTTGCCTGACCTAACAACATATAATATATGTAATTTGCATACTTACTATTGAAATACAATTATTTGTAATAAGTGACTGAAATAATCCATATCGATCAAGGCACTTCACAAAGACATATGCATCAAAATTTGGTTACGGTACATTACGAAAATAGCCTATTTTTGTTTCATATGATGATTGATGATTGAGAATTATGTACAGTATTTCATGTCCTAATGAGGTCACTTTCGAAGCTTGTACTATCAGTGGAAGAAATAAACATAAGGAGAGAGTTAACTTACTGCCCAGAAGTTCTGAAAAGCCTCTTCTATCTGCGGCAGAACTGATTTGGTAGCCATGTCCATGGTCTTGGTAGAGAGACGATCTCCCTCTGTGTTCTGCCTGGCTGCTACATCTCGACTCATAGGGATGGACCTTCAAGTGTAAAGGGTATAAAAGAGGGAAATATGTAGGAGGGAGGGAGAGACGGAGAGATGAAGGGAGAAAGCAAGAGAAATACAGTTGTCAGGATGAGCAAGCAAGAGAGGGAGGTAGAGAGATAGAGAGAGGGGGATAGAAAAGAAATAGATGATAGAGAGAGAAAGAAAGAGGACAGAGAGAGAGAAAGGGAGATAGGTGTTGAGGGAAGGAGGGGGAGAGGTAGAAACGGCAAGAAAATGGATAAGAAAAAGTTCAGAGAAAGATAATAGAAAGATACATAGATTTTAGGGGGGAAGGTGGGAGGAAGAAACAGAGAGAGAGAGACAGGGAGAGACAGATACAGAGAGAGAAGGAAAAAAAGATCAAAACAAAGGGACAAAGAAATTTCATAGAATTATGGAAAGATAAATTAAAACAAGACATGTCAAAACTCAAAAGAGAGGGTTGTTTATAAGATGGAAGAGAATATATTGAATGTTGAAGAGAAATGATAATAAGAACATGAAGAAATATCAGTAAAGTGCTAATACAAAGGTTCATAATTTCAAAGCACTTCCTTATGTTGGAATAAATGTATCATCATTCAGCAAAAATACCTATTATGTTGAATAGGAAGTAATTACTCTGAATTCCAAAGTACTGGTATGACTTTTTCAAAATTATGATGCAATGGAAGTTCAACATTACTAATATCAATATCCTATAAATCAAGTTTTCAAAGTACATGTAAAAGAACATATAACCAATGCAATTTTATCTGAAATCTCCTAAATGTGGATTACAAGACATTGTTTTCTTGCCATTGATACCCTGTCATTAGGATTAAATCTATAACTGCATTCATGTACACACAGTCACACACCAAAATATTGATCTTGTCTCGATGATAAGTCATCAGATGCTTTTTTTCAAAAAGTAAACATACAAATTGACAAGGAGAAGCCAAGCAAAGCAAAGATAATAACCACTACCGATCAAAACTCAAAGTACATTAACCCTCTCACACATGTAAATTGTAAAAACAAAAAAATGAAAGAGAGAGGGAGAAAACCCACCTAATAAAGAGAAAGGAGAAAAGAAGAAATGACAGATCACAGGGGTTCATTCATCAATTCAGAGAAAAACAAGTAAAAGAGAGAGAGAGAGAGAGAGAGAGAGAGAGACACAAACCTCAAAGTACCTCTTTCACACACATAGCTTGTAAAAAGAAAAGAGAGTAAAAGAGAGAGAGAGAGAGAGAGAGAGAACCAAACCTCAAAGTACATTAGCCCTCTCACACACATAAATTGTAAAAAGAAAAAAAAATGAAAGAGAGAGCGAGAAAACCCACCAAATACAGAGAAAGGAGAAAAGAAGAAATGACAGATCAGAGGGGTTCAGTCACCAGTTCAATTCCAAGCCCCATTGAAAAGAACCTAGTACACAAATCACAGTGTGCACAAGCAAACAAAGACTAACAATAAATCCCCTCTCATCATTTATCCATAATTGTTACAGGTTATATTATGCACTGACTTTCCCTTTCGACCTACAAATGTTTGTTGTTTTGTAAAGTGCCTTGGCTTTCCAATGAACATTTTAACATCTCACCTACATTTTTCTACCTTAAAGTTGCCTTTCACCCACATCCTACCCACCTACACGACCCCCGACCTACATCTGGCCGCACAATCCAAAGAGATGTATGAATAAAGGTTGCGTAGCCAACACGATTGCCCTTTGTCAAGACATTTTACGGTATTCAACACCACTTATCACCTAATTTATGCAACATTGCGATACAAATTGCATAAAAAATAATGCTAAAGTTCATTTCATTTGTATGAAAACAAGGCACAATTTTTGCAAATTGCTCCTGCCCCCCCCCCCTCTCTCTTTCTCTCTCTCTCCTTTCTCCTCTCTCTATCTCCATCCCTCTCTCACTCATCGCTTTATCAAATGTTAATTTGTAATAACCCTTACTTTTTAAGTGTGTACAGCAAATGCTTGTCAATAATAATTACATTAAAAATACAATTACCACATATATCACAAACAAAATAAAGGGAAAGAAGGTTCACATATCTGCAAGTTCATATGATAAATAGAGTAACATTGATCAAATACTAAAAGCAAATAAATAAATTAAAACCAAAGAACTACAGTAAAGAATAGTGATGCCACATTTAGCATAACAAGTTGACATATTCATGTAAACACAGATGTAAATAAAGCAACTATAAAATATTGCAGCACACAGATTAAAATATCGGTTGTATTTATGGCCTTTCAAAGCAAACATCATTCCAAGATAAACATATCGTCTAGCCTTTATTGGCATTGAGCGAACTGTGAAATCTATGGGTCGACACACTTTCATGAATAATATTTATCTTTTCCATTTGAGGTTCACTGATCTGTCAAAATGTGTACTCATTTCTATTGAGTAAATTGGGTTACTCCATTTCGGGAATGGGGTGCATGGATGAAATGAATAACTGTTGTCTTCAATATTCAAGTTTTATCGTATTCATTTAGATATGAAAATATTTTGGGGATACAAAGAGAGCTTAATGTTTCAAAATAAATAGAAATTTCATGTAAATCTCATTCTTTCATGCATCTGTATTTCCATCCCAAATGTAATACTACCCTATGCGATCTTGGACTAACACAGCTTCTTTGTCATATAGTTATACGTCGTTGGAGCAATAACAGGAATAGTGATGATTAGATTAATTTATATAGCACTGCAGCTACTATATAAATATACTCTACTGGGCTGTAATGAAAACAATGCCTCCGCTACTCCTAAGAGTGCTACTTTACAAACACATAACACAAAATATTCAAAAGCCATTCAAAAGCTCCTGAAAAAAAGTGTGTCTTCAACAAAACTTTAAAGACAGCAACAGTTGAGGCTTTCCTTATGTCTAGTGGTAGGTTATTTCGAAAGTTTTTGAATAATAACCTTGAACAAACTATAATTGGAGATTTCTACATAGATTTTTATTGGTCAGGACAGCCCTAGAGTCTCCATAAATTAACACATACAATTTAACAAAATCAATAACACTTCTCTAAATTGTGTATGAAATGGTATGAGCTAAGCAATATTCATTCACCATTCCAATATTTCCTAACAGCTAAGTACTCAAAGTTTGGGAAAAAATCAAACAAACAAATAACCCACCATATTGAAAAATCAGTCCAAACGGTGAAGGGAATGAGAAATGCTATACAGGCGTCATGATGGTATGGCATTCTATTGAAAGTACTTGTTTTTTATTATGATATCTATGGTTTTAAGGTTATCAGAATATTACTGATATTCCCTAAAGGTCTTGTTTTATATACAGATAGATTTTTGACCCCATTTATCCTTTTGGATTCTCTATATACACATCAATGATTTAATACTCTGTGCCAAGGAACGATATCGCTATTATTACTCGACACATGTTACTATTAAAATACTTCTAACCAACTTCCACCACTGTGCAACCCAAACTGAACGAAAAGTGATTTAAACTTATACCACATATAGCACAAATACCTTCCTTTCCTCCGTGTATGGTCACTGCTAAATGAATAATGTAGTAATAATAATAATATGCTTCCAAGACAAGTCATTTAATACAACTTTACTAATGGTTGTATATGACAAATTATCAATAGCCATTCTGCCAATAGGATACTCTATAACAAATATTGTACTTTATATTAATATATATACATTGTACATTATATTTGCATACATGTAATTCAATTATGTGCATGTTATTGATTTCATCAAATAAGCATTTACAAAAAGAAATGAATATAAGGAAAGCAGAAATAGTTGAGTGTATGTTTAATAGCCTATTTTCATAATTCATAAAAATTATTTTTGTAACCGCTTTTGAGATAAAGAGCAAAGCTGATATCCAACCTGGCTAACTTTCTTTTCTTTTTTTTAAAGCAAGATTTATTATTCTGTAATCAAATAATTTAATACAAATATATTGATAACTCTCTGTAAATATCAACATGATGGAAACAAAAAGACCCAGAGAATGACGTTATGCTGATCAATGTCAAATTTGACATGAATTCTAAATCCCCAGTATTTTAAAATTTACCAGCCTACAAAATCTAATTGCGACTGAATTATTATTTTTTAAACCAACCCCAAACCAAATCGATTAGCAAGTACAGTTGGCAAGAACTTTAATTTTCAATTGAATGTTCCTCCTCGAAATCTTCTGGTAGAAATTTTATTCTGCTTCTAATTTAAGCATGAATTCAGTATCAAAGTAAAATTCTGGGTTACGTACACGCCCGATCTAAGTCACACCAGGCTACACTGCTTTTGATAAACAACAAGCATTATGTTCAATACATCGACTACCAAATGCACTTACCTCTTGGAGTTCGGATCAAAGAAGTTACTGTAGATCTGCTTGGAGATTGATGTACGTTTGTCTGCATGGTTTTCAGGGATTCGCCAGCATATATCAACATCAGAGTACATCTGCACCATGTTGTTCACATCCTTACTCTCAAAGTCTTGAACGTAGGTCTTGAACAGATTCATAACGCTGGGAAGAAAAAGGAAATAAATGTCACTGATCACAGTGAAAATTTAGTTGAATGCTCTCACATAAGTTGTGGCAGCAAATGATCAAGCCATCATTTTGTCAAAGATACAGGGAGAAGACTAGGGTTGCGATTGGGCTTTAGGTCAGGCTTAGTGTTAGGTTTAGGGAGGCTTAGGGTAAGGTAAGGTGTTAGGGCCAGGGTTGAAGTTAGGAATTTGGGTAGTGCAAAGAAAATATATTGGAAAACCTCACTTTTAGGTTATAATTGTTTATATTTGTTTATTTCAATTGTATTGTTAAAAACATTTTTATTTAAATAATACAATTATATTTTTAAATATTTTCACAGCCATAAATAAATCACCTCTTATTCTTAAACATTTTCTTGAAAGTGGCCTCCTTCTCATCCTCTGGCTTCTTGTCTCCTTTCCCGTCTCCTGGTTTCCCTTGATCCTTCTCATCTTTCCCTTCAAACTTGACCCCTTGCTTGGTGCCCTTCTTGGCCTCCTGCTGCCTGGCCTTGGCCTGCCGGACCAGTTTCCTCTGCATGGCAATCTGCTTCTTCTTCTTGGCCTCCCGCTGTTTCTTGAGGGCTTCTTTATCGGCCTGGTTGGTGCCGTCGTCCTTGCCGGCCTTGCCACCTTTCTTGTTCTTCTTCTTTTTCATGGCGGCGGCTGCTGCTGCCTCCTCTGGGTCACTGTTAAAAGATGAGAATTGTAATTCAGTTGTTGATAGCTATTACGTAGGTAGAAAGGATGATGATGGTGTTGATAGCTATAACAAAGGTAGAAATGATGATGATGAATGATGATTGATAATGATGAATTATGATGATGATACTGATGAATTGTGATTATGATGATGATGATGATGGTGATGATGATAATGATGATGATGATAATGATGGTGATGATGGTGATGATGGTGATGATGGTGATGATAATGATGACTGATGATAATGATGATAATGATGGTGAATTGTGATGATGTTGGTGATGATGATGATGATGATGATGATGATGGTGATGATGATGATGTTGATGATGATGATGGTGATGATGATGATGATGATGATGGTGATGATGATGATGATGATGATGGTGATGATGGTGATGATGATGATGATGATGGTGATGATGATGATGATAAAAAAGATGACTGATGATGATGATGATGGTGACGATGATGATGGTGATGATGATAATGATGATGATGAATCGTGATGATAATGATGATGATTTGTGATGATGATGATGATGATGATGATGATGATGAAGATGAAGATGAAGATGAAGATGAAGATGAAGATGAAGATGAAGATGAAGATGAAGATGAAGATGAAGATGAAGATGATGATGATGATGATGATGATTGGTGATTATGATGATGATGATGGTGATGATGATGATGATGATGATGGTGGTGATGATGATGATGATGATGATGGTGATGATGATGGTGATGATGATGGTGATGATGGTGATGATGGTGATGATGATGATGATGATGATGATGATGATGAGGGTGATGATGGTGATGATGATGATGATGATGATTTGTGATGATGATTATTATGATAACATAGTAATACATGTACATGTCATAAAACCGTTGGCAATTCATCCATTCTCAACTGCCTAATCCTTCAGATAGGACGTACAACCATACGTTCCATGTAACTTACCTTCATACTAATCTCTTATTCTCCTTAGTACTTATTAAGAAACAGGTTCATTAATTGATCAATCATTCAAGCACAAAACAATATTCAAACATACTTTATTATCGATTCAAAATTCTAAAATCATAAAATGTCATTTTTATGTCCAACTCGTAGTTTCTTTTACACTACCAATGAAAATGCTTAATCCATCTGTCAGTGCTTCATGAGAGGCTCATATAAGCGGATTCCATTTATGTCGCAAATTGTAACATTTTTATACAGATGAAACAGAACTGTCTTCTTCAAATAAAACAAAACACAATCTAAATGACCTACATCTAATGCACACATACACTGGTGCTTTCTCATTCAAACTATACTCAAATAATACTAGTGTTAATTATAATGACAATGTTAATTGTGGAAAAGTGACATAGTGCAATGCACATTAGGTATTCTAAATCTCTATACTAAGTTAAAGATGAATATAAAAGATGTTTAATTTCAGTGGCAAAACAAAAGAGTGTTATTTAAAATTTAATAAGTTTATGTAATTGGCCAAAATCCAACTACTATGCAGGCTGACACATGCATTTTATATTTGAAATCAGACTCATGTTAATAGGGAAATGTGATAAAAAAAACCTAAATACAGGAAAAAAATCTGAGCAGGCTTTTGTGCAAGAAAAAGGGCCAAACATTTGTATCGGATTGTATTGATTCTAAAATAAAACAAAATTACATCAATATCACTCTTTTTTCACAATTTTTTTCTTTCTTTCTTGAGTGTGAGTATTCCTAAAAAGGACTGTTGGTAGTCTTAAAAAAGACTGTTAGTAATCTTTCTTGAGCTTATAGTTCTAAGGAGAACTACATGTATAGCGCCAGTTGGAGAGGCTGGGTAGTAGGAGAAATGTTTGTACTTTCTCATTCATTCAACAAAAATGGTGTCACTAATTAGGAGCAAGGAATATCACTAATTACCTTGAATACTATACAAATGAACAAACATATAAAATATCAAATGTGTTTGCTACAATAATTGTTACTAGAAATAAAAGCAACAAGTTGGTATGAGAATGAGATGATGGAAAATATCATCCCAGGTGAACATATATATCTATGTGATTGCTAAATGCTAAAATCAAAACAAAAAATGTTATATCAAATCAACTTTATATAAGAATTACATGAAAATGATGGACATACATAAATATATCATGTATGGACGGAAGGAAAAAATGGTTAACAGAGAAAACAAGTTGCATATAAAATAAAAGTGAATGTGCTATAGCAACATGTATGTTAAGGTTTTCAAATAAAAGTAGAGTTGTACAATGTGTAGATCATCATCTGGTAGTACTAGTGCTATGTGTGGTTCACTGCAATAGGGCCTACTGTAAATAATCTCGCAAATGAACACAAGTTATGATCAATTTCAACTTTCCATATCAGCCAATCCATACATCTTTTTAAAATCTAAGAGTAGAAATTGAATTAATTGTTATTATGACTGAGGAAAATACATAACGATCCTGAATTCAAGAGACATGTCTTTTTGGATAAACAACTTTTGAAAGATTCTGAATAAGCTTGTCTTCAAAATCCTGAAAATGAATACAAGTTCTTGATTTGTTGAGGGATGAAGTTTGCATCATGATGAAAAAAGAAAAAGAAAGTTGTAGCTGAATAATTCAAATCACTTTTCCTAGCTCTCATTTGCTCAAGACATATTCCTAGCTGTTCAAAACCACGGGTATCTTTGTGTTTATTGACTGAAATCAGAAGAAATCAAACAACCAATTTTGAGCAATTGAAAATACAGCTTTAATTGAATTACTCCAATAAAAATATAGAGAGGCTTTCGCATGATTGTCTATATTGGAAATGTTGTATTCGATCGTAGCTTGTAATCAGTCACAACCGTTAGATGACGGAGGCCCTGAGGATATCAATGTTGTATCACCTGTCGTTATCACTGGATTCAATGCTCGTCTCACTACTCTCTTCGCTATGACAACCAAGAAGGAATAAGAGTGACAGGTGTAAAGGAGACAAGTTCTCAGGCCCAAATTCCAAAGTCAGGTTTATCTATTAAAACTCTAGCTTAACTTAGACTGGAGTTCAAGTTAAACCTGACTGAAATATACCTTAAAATTTAAGGCATGTTTGATAGAGAAAAAAATGAGTAAAACTACTCATTTGAGTGCAATAGGCAATTTGAAGTGCTGAACAGTTTGTATGGTACAGTATTTATCAAATTTTAGGATAAGTCTTTTATCATGAAACTCAAAACTGGTTCATGAATTGTACAATTACTGTAATTATAGAATAAGGTTTGTATCATAATGTAAAAATAAATGAAAAGGAACTTTTATTAAAAGACTGCTTTTAAGATAGGAGAAATTATTGCAGCCAATATTGTATACCAGCAAGTATCAATAAAGAGAGCTTCATTTCAAATGATCCCTTTCAAGCAATTTCATACCTACATTATTTCTTGGTCTTAAAGGTTAAAAAACCTCCACAAAAACAGAAATCCCCAGGATTAAATTAACTCATATGAAGCAGCAGACTTTAAATTCAGCCCAAACTCCATGAAAATAGTACTATGAGCTATTTTCTCCAAATGAAAAAAATTAAAGAAATAAAGACAGAATCATATAGCACCTTAGTAACCAATAACCATTCCACTATACACAATGGGATCTAGGCATAAAACAAATCATTACCAATGAGAAAAAAGTGCACAAAATACAAACACAACAGTATTTAATATCATCACATTCATTTCTTTTTTCTTCTTCTTTCTGTTCCATCTTGAAATATTTTACCCCTGAAATCACCTTTTCAATGATTAGAGAGAATAGATCATCTATTTTTCTATGATCATATATACATATCTATACATATTTCATTGATTTCCATCAAATGTAAACCTACACATACAACTACAAGTATGAGAACAGGTGAGATGGTTCTCTCTTTATTTTCTAGTCTTATCAAATTAACACAATTAACCACATCAAAATATTTTACCTGGGTTTGAAACGACGAGTAGCCGGAACTACATGTACGGAAGGCCTTTGTAGCATGCATTAAAGGTGAAATAGACATGAAAGACACACATATTTTTCATACTATACAAAATAATTACAAGATTCTTGTTATAACAGTCATATTTATCACCTACAACTCAATTAATCTACCTGTATATGAGCCACAGATTATTTCATACGATTTTGCAATGGGAAAATGAAAAATATTACAAAGATGTTAAGAAAATGTTTGCCATTCGTAATGGAACATTCTGCCAATGGTTATTGAGTTAGGAATAGAACAGTCCCAGAAACCAGATGAAGGAATAAAAATAAGAAAGCAACTTATCTACAGATTAGAGCACCGTGACAATTACAATATATGTGTTTATATCCATTAGTATGAAATGCAGATTATGGATTCTCCAAGACATAATTATTCAAGGGGGGGGGGGGGGGTAGTTGTCCAGGGGTCAGAGCCTCTATACACATAGTTTGGGCAACTTGGTTTCACTGGGTCACAGCATGGCGTATATTCTTTTGTTTTATGCTTGCCCAACAATGTAGTAGTTGCCATATTGTGTCCAACTCGAACCGAGTTAGCCAGACTCTGTGTAAAGATGGCTATGCCGGGGGTTAATTATTCAAGGGGGGGGGGGGGGGAGGGGGGAGTCGAGGGGGAGGGGTGGTAAATATCCCAGAATCTGATTATAGGCTGGATGGCCCTTCCTACTTACAGTTTTTCCATGAGTGATTCCTGCCTTGCTACGGCTGATCTCTCAGAGTAGGAGGAACGTTGGGAGCTGGCTGACAGGATGCGATCCTCGGGTCTTGCTCTGCAGCTGAAAGAGGAAGAGCACACAGATACCAATTAAAACATGAAGCATTCCATTTTCAAAAAGTTATATAACAGGGCCCGTATTAAATTCAATACTTAAGTACAACATTTTAGCTTTTTACTTAGTATTTGGCTTTAATAAAATACTTAGCCAATTTTGGTATTCAATTCAAACTTTTGGCTAAGTATTGTACCCTACATTTAAGACAGGAGGTCTTGATTGGCAGGCATAGGTTTTCTTACGCAGTATCATAACCTGCGCACAATTATATTAGCGCACATTTATTGCGGCGTGTTAATTGCGCATTACTTTTGATTGACTGTGTGAAGTCACAATGCTTATCAGTAAGTATTTTACCTAATTTTGTCTCAGATATTAAAGTAAAAGTCTAAAATGCGATTTGAATATGAGATAAGTAAACTTCTTAGCTTTGCCATTTACTTAGTAAATTTCTTACTTTTTTAGTGTAAGTATCGAATTGAATACCGACCCTGGTGACTATTCATTTGAAATAATATATGTGAGCAGCTAGCAAGTATTAAATTAACCACATAAAGCTTTAATTGGCATTCGATCGGTGAAGAATTAAGGATTATGCTAAAAGTAAGAAAATAGCGATAACATAAAAACCATACACATATAACTCTAGCCAGAATTTGATACCGTGCACTGAGTATCCACTCACAAATCACTTTCCCTTCTTTAGTTAAAAATTCATTTAAATTTGCAATTTCTCTTTACAGAAGTAGCAATGAAAGCTGATATTTTCAGTATAGTATTGCTGCATAGAACCTAAAGTATTCACAGCACAATATTTTATGGAGATTGGTACCCTTTACTCATATTTAAAAATTAAAGTAACTTGCTGTTTGAGTGGAATACACATTCGAAGAATAAGGATAACAACCATTCAGGCTTTGCTTAAGATTGTGGTCTCCTGCACTTTTTCAACTGATAGTTTGGGTAATACTTTAAATTATAATAATATGTTATAGAATATTAAGTTTCGTTATTATATGTACATATGTAAAAAAACATTTTGACATAAAGTTAATATTGTTTGTATATTTTGTAATATACCTTACATTTATATGTTCTTTGTTATTTTGTTATTGTATTTGGAAAAATGTAGAAATAAAATAAAATCAAAAAATCTTACTCCAGAAATACTTTGAGATCCTCCTTCAGGAAGTGGAGCCATTCTCTCTGGAGCATGTGGACAGCGTGCTCTTTGGCCCGGTCAAAGGTCGCAGCCTCCGCAAAGTCACTGGTCAAGAGAAGGGTGCTGTGGATGAAATCCCTTTCTCCTGGAGGCAGATCTTCATTTGAGACATGATAAGACAGAGAGACAAGTTGAGACATTCTGGTTGTACAACACAGTACTTAATGCAACCATTGACCAAACACTATATCCCTATAACTAACTCTAACTAACTCTAACTAAATAACTAATAACTTACTAAATCTTTTAAACTCTAGACTAAAAGTCAATATCAACCCCAATGTTAACCCCTTAACGCCTAGAGCAATCTTCATAGAAGCACATGTCGGAACACTAACATTCTAACTTAACATAAGGAAAAGAAAAAAACAAAAACAAAAATGCAGCTGTTCCTTTTACATGAAAATGAATGGGAACTAAGCACAACAAAGTTCCTAGGCATATTTACTTAGCTCTGTGTTATAAGCTGCAGAAATGCAAAACAAAACAAAAACACCGTAGTTTGCTGCGGCATTTTTCTAAACGATTTTCAAGTTTGATCACAGTAGAAGGTGTGACTGAGTCTGACCTATATTCCATATGCCATCGTCCATGATGTATTTATTGAAGATTGACCATGCTTGACCCATGAGGAGGAGACGGTCAGCTGATCGGTCCTCAGCCAGGACATAGTCTGATACGTCTTGCCAGAAGAGCAGGTTGGCAAGGAGTAGCCGGTCAGAATGTCTGGAGAAAGAAAAAAATAGAGAATGATTTGAAGAAATGTTTATCTTTCAAAGACAAAGCAAAGTTAGAAATTTTCTTTTCAAGTTCATGAACCACACTGTCAATTTGTTGTCAACTCTATAGAGATATCAGTTCCATGTTGCAACATGATCGCAAGAATAACTAAATTATTAACAGAGGGATGGAAGAGAAAGTTTTTAGCTGATATAACGGCTAACAAGAAAATTTCATTTTGTCAGACAGCTAAAAGCAAGCACAATGAGCACCCTATAGAGGGAGTTACAAGAAGCCATCATCACCATTATCTTCATCGTCATCATCATCATAATTATCATCATCCCCACATCATCATCATCGTCGTCTTCGTCGTCATCGTCATCAGCATCACCATCATCATCATCCTCATCACCACCATCACCATCATCATCATCATCACCACCATCACCACCATCATCATCATCATCATCATCATCACCACCATCACCACCACCATCATCATCATCATCATCACCACCATCACCATCATCATCATCATCATCAGCATCATTGAACTGGACAGAAAATACCACATACCTTTCTAGATATCTCTGGAATGGCCTCCCAGCGTCCTTGTCGCAAGCCAGCCCCACATGAAACCTTGCCGACATTGGTCTGGGGATGTACTTGGTGTCGTCCATGGTCATGAGGTGCCCCGGCCTGATATACTCCTCCATCTGGCGCCCTCCATGGGCAACGATTGACCAGTCCTTCTGGGTGGTGGCCAGTCGGAAGCAAGATGAGGGTCTGACCGGTAGTGAGTTGACCAGCGAGATGGAGGGAAGGAACGTGTCCATGGGTTTCTTAGCATCTTCCATCATGCGCTGATGGCGCTCCCTCAGTCGCTCGTAGCTGAAGGGATAAGAGGAATAATATCAAATATATCTGCTTTGAAATATCGCAGTATATTAAGTAATAGCCCTCTCTTTCTCTCTTCACTTGTTCATTTTGTCTGTCGACCCACCTCTCCCCTACTTTCCTTTTCTTTCTTTCGTTCTCTCTTTCCTTCTTTCTTTCTTTCTTTTTTTCTTTCTTTCTTTCTTTCTTTCTTTTTTTCTTTCCTTTTTTCTTTCTTTCTTTCTCTCTCTCTTGCTCTCTCTGTCTCTCTGCTCCATTTTTCTCTTTTGTTGAAAGCTTCCTACTTCGTAAACATTCCTGCATTTAGATTTTTAAAAAGATATACCTAATAAATCAGTTAGTTTTTCACTCTAAACCGTCCTAAATTGCCAAACAGCACGTTATAAATATCATAATACCAAATAACCTAACTCTAAACCGTGTTTCTGAAACTAATCTTTCTCTTTTGTGTATGTGCTTTCTCAATAATACTAGCTTCATCACAATTAAGCCCTAAAATTCCTTCATGCAGTCCCATACCTATACTCTCCTGTCCTTTCCTGGTGTATGAGAAACCTAGCCACCCAGTACGACCTGAGTCTCCTCAGAACATCATACTGGGTCCTGGTGAAGACGGATTCACTCAGTCCGATGTTCCCTTGGGCTTGCTTGATCTGCTTCTGGGCGTCCGGGGTCAGCTTGAACCGGTACTTGTCTTGAATGTCTCTGTAATGAACAAAAAGAGAATCATTCAAAAGTGTTAAAGGGGGTGTAGCATGACAAGATTATGTGTCTTTCCCCGTGGCCTGACTCTGGGCCAATCGGGTATAATACGACTAGAGACAACGCCCCCGCAGTATTCACGTGTGTGCAACATACGCGAAACCGAAGCATGAGGAGAACTTTGGTCTGTTTCGCAAACGCTAGCTCGCACTGACCATTAATTGAGTCCATTCGTTTACGTGCAGTTGTCCAAAAGAAGTCGTAGATGGCGTTAACCGGTATTTGCCATGCTACACCCCCTTTAAACATAGATCCCACATACCAAAGGTCCTATCTGAATCCTAAAATGAGGGCATATGGCAATTACTTACACAAATGCTTTCGTCATCTCACCAGGTCCCCATTTCTCTGCTGGGTATAGAGTGGCAAATGTAGATTAATGCCTTGCCAAAGGACAATAGTGCCGTGTCAACCTTTGAATTCAAGTCAAGTGCTTAAACCAGTCAATTACGAGATCTCTACACTAGGAAACCTCTAGTACTATATCTCTTCTCTACATTTACAGTTATCACAAGTTAATTCTAGTTGAATAAATGTTGATTTTCATATCTAAATATTCAAGTGTTTCAACAAAAACAGTACACTGAGAAAAAGTTACGAAACAGAACATTGAACATTGGAATTGTATTCAAATGATAAGCAGAAAATGATAAGCAGAGGATGATGGGTGACAGTCAACGCTGAAAAACACATGGTACATAAAATCTAAGTTGGTTAGACACCATAAATGAGAAATCAATCTAAGATGTAGTATATTGTGGCTGTATTAAGAAGCAAATCAATTTGCACATAAATATATGAATAAATATTCATTTAATTACATTCTAGCTTTATAAAAGCTTACTGTTAAGAGTTACGTTTTGCTGTATCATTATTAGCATCATAGTTATTATTATGATTCACGTTTTGTTTTAGGATTGAAGATTATAGAGGTAAGGATGTGACAGGTGGTACTATCCTCGATATAATTCGCTAGTCGAGGCTTCACACTAACGTCTTAACGTAATGAACTGATCGCAACTAATATTCAACCACTTCATCCTTTCCTTCCAAATTTATTCTTTAAAATAAAGCTACATAACAATACAGAAAATAACTCCTAAAAATTTACTGACATTATTAATTTCATAAACACAACGCCACAGGCTATCGTCGATCCAACAGAGCAAAAATATGAAGAGAGGACCAGAAAATCATCAAACGACGATGGAAAAGGCCATAACACCCAACAACAACAACAACAAGTTGATTCGTAAAGTCCTAAAAAGTTTGGAGTTTCTTACCTAAACAGTCTTGTCCTTTTGATATCAGTACCTCCCTCCATACTCTGTACGTTGTCTCGGTACATCTCACAGTCGAGCCAGAAGTTGAGCATATCCTCTCCTAGAGTTCCAGCCAGGAAGGCTTTGAACAACTCCATACCAACCAGCTGTATCAATACAAAATATCATTTTGGGGGTAATTTGATATTACAACATGTGGCGAGAAATGTTTTATTACAAAGAAATGTTGCAGTGACATAACAATAACTTGTTTTAACAAATATTTTCTTTAGAATAATATGAATATATAGAATAATTCCACACACTACAAAGTGCGATGTGTTATGGTCATCATGATATTGTCATATAATTGGAAATGATGTCATAGTTGAGGGGTTTAATCATTTGAGTGGGGATGCACATTTTATGTGTTTGAGCCCCAGCAAAGATCTAATGACCTTAAGCAGGGTATATTAATATCTACATTGCTTCTCTCCAACCAGGTGTTCAATGGGTATCTAGCAGGATTTGAATGTCAATGTGCTTAGATTGGCATGTGTGACGCTTTATATTTAATTATTCTTACCCTGGTCATCGGATTCAGGCTTGCCCGCACACACAATGAATGCACATTCTCCACTCCCTGGGAAAGCAATCCAGCCACGCACCATTTTACAGACACTCACAATGCTGAGCAAACTACATTAATGTTCATATCCTACCCGGTACACGTTTAACACATGGGTGGAGAGTGGCAAATGTAGATTAACGTCTTGGCAAAGGACGTTAGTGCCGGGCTGGGATTTTAACCAATACCTTGTGATCTATAGTAGGGTGACTAGCCCCCAACACCTCCATTTATTTTTTACATTGTAAGCACTTTGGTCAGATGTTTGTAACTGGTAAGAAGCTTACTAAAACAAACGATATAATACAATTATCATTGATATATCACACAATTGCCACGAGAGCAGAGATACTTACACTGCCCAGGATTTCTTCTTTGAGTTGATGGAATGTGACCCGGTGTTTGACCTCTACCTCTCTCAATTCAGACTCCGTTCTCTCATCTACAGCGGTGAGATCCTCCTCATAATTGATCATGCTATGGTCTGGCTCTGCTTCTCCATCTCCCTCAACCTGCAATCAAGTCCATTCACAAGATTTAAGAAAAAAAAAAAAATCTTTGATTTCGATGTTTGACCATCAATGCAAAAAAGTATGTAGTTCCAATCACCCTTCCACTTTTTCGCCTAATATCAATATTTAGTTTTTTCCTTCATATATCTTTACTGTTATATACAGGAGCAGATAATTTTGACATTTTGGGGTTATTGGGTTTACTGATTAAGTTCACTTTTATAACCCTCTCGAAATAAATACCACTACTGATAAGTTTCAAGATCTAAAGATATTGATCATATGTAAAGTTAGACTATATGTAATTGTAATATCATTGTATTTTGTTTGTTATAGGGCTTAGAGACTTTGGTGGTATGCGCTTTATAAGCACCGTTTTTTTAAATCTTTGAAGAAAAAAAAATCATTATGATGTGGGTTACTAGACCTTACAACCTACCCTCAATTCCTGATCAACGAGGACGTCCTCCTTGAGTTCACCGACATTCACCAGGACTTGCTCCTCATCGATGACCTCCTGGGGAAGAGCGATGCTGGAACCATCCTCATCATCCTCCTCCTCTACCTCCTCCTCCTCTTGTTCTCCTTGATTGCTATAGATTTCATCTTCACTTCCTGTTTCTCCTTCATCTTCATCATCGCCATCCTCTGCGTTTTCTTTGGAAAGAGTTCTTTGCAGTTCAGCGCCATCTGGTCCAGGCCTAATGTGAGGAGGTAGAAAAGTAAAGGGATAGAATATTTTATTCCTATTGAAGTTTATTTCATCTTGTTAAAAAATGTTGATATAGATCCAAGTTGACTGCTAAAAGTCCAAATTCCTGATCTAAATATTTCAAAGCTTTCAACCAAATGTTAATACGACATTGTGTGGGTGCATTCCTGCATATTCATATCAGTGTGCAGTGCTTTTCTCTGTTTGTGTATCCATCAAGAAGTGCATCCATCAATTTCTTACCATTTTGTTGATTCCCAAAACTTTTTCTCATTTTACTCCTTTTTCAACCATTCCCAACAACTTATCAAGAGATTCATTCACTATTTGAGTACATGTCTAATACTAACCATTTACAACAAAAAATATGTAAACAAATTCAATATCACAGTACCACCTTACCTTTCGTTAGTTTGTTCTGTGAGTGGTATTCTTCCCGAATCTCCTCTGTTAGGAGTCTGGATGGTAGCTCTCTTCTTGGGTGTATTCTCTTTGCTGCTTTCAGTTTTCAAGGCACTCTTTCTTGCTGCAAATTATAAATAAAGAAATAAGTAATGATAAAATACAAAACATTATTTGCTTGGTGTATACTATAGAACTGAATGAAACTGAATATGACGTAACTTTAAGTACTTCAAACTTAAAGGTAATACAAAGTTTTGGTATGGGGTCATGAATTTAGTTCAAATGAACATATTGGAAGCATATACGATCCTACAATATTCAGTGATCGTTGTCGCGGTCGAAATCGACTCTAAAGTTATGAAATTGTAAATAATAAACACTTTATGTTGAATATCTCCCTCTCAAGGTCAAGATATTGCTTAAGCTATAAAACAATGTTTATTGACTAAAATTGACTGATTAGCTATTCTCGTTCGGAAATTATATATCACAACTACATACTCTGAGATTTTCATGGTCGCAGCTACCATTGTACGGCCGTAGGAGCTATTTGAAATTTTATCAAAATTTACCGGGAGCACCGGTAAATCTTTATATTCAATTTTTCTCGAAAGCAGAAGTGTTTTAGGGGCTAAAATTTTTGGTGTTTTTAATACATCCACAGGGGCATCCAAATATATTAAAATTGTAAAGAATCACTATCCACCCATTTTTCAGAATTTCCCAAAACTTTGTAATACCTTTAAAGTCATATTTTTGGCCCCAAAAATAAAACAAGATAAGTCCACAATGCATTTCAAATCTGATGATATAGATATTATCATTATGGAAGATTGTCAGAGAGAGGGGTATGGCAGTTCTAACAGGGGAGTAGAACTGCTAGAGAAGGCCAGATCCAGAGAGATATGTAGCAGCATGTTTGCTAAAGTCAACAGATTATACTAATAATACCGGTTTCTTACAAAGTATTTTTCTATGAACTGACTAAAGTGCTTGCAGTATTATTATTACAGCAGTCACAGGATTCAATTACTATACTACACATTTTCCACTCTCCACTCCCTGGGGAGCATTACAACTAGTCACCTTTTTCTGGCAAGAACATGCTAATCCAACCACAGCGACATTCGTATCCTACTGGGTACCCAAACCATTAAACACCTGGGTGGAGAGGAGAAAAGTAGATAAAATACCTCGCTGAAGGACATAAGTGCTGTAGCGGGACCAGAACCTGTGACCTTTGCCTTTCCAGTCAACGCATTAAACCACTCAACGACAACTCCTAGCTGCATCAAACTTACATTTTTGCCCGTCCCTGCTCTTAACAGTCAACTGTGTGTCTTCCCTACTGACAGAGGGCAAGGCGACCTTTGACCCTGCATCACCGCCAGCCCCCGTCTCGGTCTCCTGCCCTGGACTGGGCTTCTCCCGGGATGACCTGGATTTCCCAGTCGCTCTACGGCTTTCTCGCGAGGACTTTTTGCTCGGCGACAGCTTGCGGGCGTGATAGGCATCTATAGGACTCCATAAGGCACCATTGACAGCTGAAAAAGAGTCGATAAATACTTTTACAACTTATTCAATTGTTTTTGTTTTGCTGTTTAGCTCAATAACTTTTGATTGAGGGTCCAATAAATACACCAAATTATACACACACCTTGCCAATTTCAATGCATTTCTACTTGTAGTTTGACGCAAGTGATTGTGAAAGAAAAACCTGCCAGAAATCTAATGTATCTGCCCAAGGTACCTTAAGGGTAACTTGTTCCCACTTCCCTTTATCCCATATCTCCTTTTCCCAAACATTAAGGGGAAAAAATCTAACTTGCACAATGAGCAGAATACATACTCTCTTGGATGTACAATACTTTTTCTGGTGAAAATCTCCATGATCAACATCTTACTCTCACCAAATCCTTAATAGTCCAGGCATTATTTGATATGACCTCGCACAAATTGCAAAAGAAAATGTCTCGACTGTTTTATACTCTTGAAGGTGTCCTCTATAACTTATCAAAACTCTCACGGAATCCTGGTGGTGGAAATTTCCATGGCGGCCATTTTTCAAAATGGCTGCCATGAGTCTGATATCTCTGCTTCTAAATAACATACATTGTCTAGGTTTAAAACAGTTGACAGACTTTCTGTTGCAATTTGTGCGAGGTCAACCCCCTTTTTTTCAAGAAATACGTGGACTATAACTTCAACTCTGCAATAGACCAAACAAGTTCTCTGACTGTACCTATTAACCTAACCTAACCTAAACCCAATTACTTCAACCCTAACCATAACCTCTCTGACAAAATGAAGCCTGAAGCAACTGTCACTGGGGCCTGTTTCATAAAACTTTTTATCAATAAGAAATGCTGAATTTCTATGACAAATTTGCTCTCAGCTAATCAGATGCCTTGATTTCAGTAGCTTATAACAGTAGCTTGTAACTTGTTATTAATATCAAGTTTTATGAAACAGGGTCCTGAAGCGATATGCTAAAGCACATCTTTTTTACACTTACTTAACCCAAGCATAGGTGGCATACTGATACACCTTGATCCTGGTCGCATGTGCTTGAACAAGAAGAGTCTATCAGCGTCCCCAGGCCAGCTGAAGTCACTGTCATTCTCGTAGGCCGACGCTTCGTGGCTCTGGGCAAGGCTCATGGAAGTGCTGGAATAGCTGGCCGTCTCCCGGCTGTACCCTCTCAGGCCTCGGCTGCTGGGGCGGCTGGTTGATCGACGCTCCTCGAGTGGACGGATGAGAAGCTTGCATAGTTTGTATTCTAGGAAGAGCTTTGTTCTGTGTGTGTTGATGAGGGGGAAAGATTATTTAAAGGGAAATCTTGATGAACGCTTGGACATAAACTACTAGAGAGAGGGTAAATGGTGAAATCTTGAATAATGTATTCAAAACAACATACCGGTAACTGCAAAACATACAGACACGTAACCTTTAGAATGAAGAGGTAGAGTATACTATTCTCTATGTACGAGGCAAACTTAAACATCAAAAAGCTTGTAGCCATTTCTAGCCTAAATTTGCTTTCTTCTGAAAGTTTCAGTCAAGTAAGGATTGCAATAAGCTATTAGAAGCTAAAGCAAAGGTAATTATTTCTATCCACAAAATCCTTGAATTAGAAGTATGTGTCCTGGATACATTTCACAAATAATAATCAAGTTCTTTCCAGTATACCTGAGAAATAGGGGTAATCTTTCCCTCCTGGCCCAATCCATGATCCTCTCCCTCTCTGCATCCCCCGGGCCATAGTACCTTCTCCTATGGTCTCCACCACCAGAGGAATGCACTGCTCCATAGGGAGAATCATCCTCCACCTCCTGGAAGGACCCAGTCAGACGATTGTAGTAGAGTGGCTGGGGGAAGGCCTGAAAACAAATATGAAAAGGTTTTAGAGAACGAGTACAAGAAGACAGACCAAGAAGATAGACCTGGAAGCTCGACTGCTGTCTCAGCATTCTTCCAGTATTTGCAGTAAAGGTAAAGATAAAGGTTATGATGAAAACAAGGTTTCTCACGCTATTGCTTAGAAACTATGCATTTACTTTTGTAGGAAGATTAATTGTTTTGAGGACTACTTATAAACCAAATTAGCCTCAAATATCATGTTGTAATTGTAAAATATATTGCAGCTGATCAACAGAAATTGCACTTTTTACAGTAGCTCTATTTCAGAGTGAGATAGGGGGCATTGTCCCATAGTTTATTTTACTCCCATATCCAAATTTGATTCTGATAGACTTTAGTAAAGTTACAGATACAGTAGTAAAGTTAGAAGGTGAAGAGGGAGAAGGAGAAGAAAAAAGAGAAAGAATCAGTAAAAAGAGGAAGAAGAAGAAGAAAGAAAGAAAAAGAAGTAGAAATAGAAGAACAAGAAGAACAAGAAGAACAAGAACAACAAGAACAACAAGAACAAGAACAGGAACCACAATGATAATGAGAAATTGAATGACAAAATATAAAGGGTTATAAGGAGCGGTAGAAGAAGAAGAAGAAGAAAAGGAAAAAGTAAAGTTGAAGAAGAAGGAGAAAAGGAAAGGAACAAAAAATAGAAAAAGGGTAATAAGGAGCGGAAGAAGAAGAAGAAGAAGAAGAAGAAGAAGAAGAAGGAGAAAAAGAAATGAAAAAAAAATAGAAAAAGAATCATGACTTACTGGATATTGAAGAAATGCATTGAAGTAATCTAAGAAGAGGTCATCATAGGCAAGAAGGGAGTCAAAATTGTCTTCATTTACTTCAATAGCTGTTCAGGAAAAAAATAAAAAACATAAATGATGAACGAGTTGGATTTTAATATTGACAACAGGGCCCCATCTTATAAAAAGATGAAATTGATTTGAATCAATCGCAACTTGAAATTAATTGCAACTCCTCTCTTTTAAATACACAATTGCGTAAATGATAATTGCGTAAATGACCATAATAATTCAGTTCTGTAATTTCCAGCCGAATCACAGCTCAAAATCATGTAGAAAAAGCTGATATTTCTCCGTCGTGTCTTACGACCAAATACATGGTTCTTTACGATTTTATACAGAGATTCAGCGAGCTTGCGTGCATGCACGACGACAACAAAAAACGCAGTCTAATCATGAATAGTCTACGAAGGGGCTGATCGGCAAGTTTGACAGTAGACTCAGGACTTGAATTTTCAAAGAATTTGTTCTAACATCGGTAAGTTGAAAAGATTATAATTTACTCTTTACTTCTATTTAGTCTAATGTCATCAATTGTCACTGAAGTACCGATTTTGAGTGAATTCTGTTGAGTTTTGTTTGAAATGTTGAGAATCAATTGAGGTCGTCCGACTGTGATTAGTTCAGGCCTTAAATTTCAATATTTTTAGGGCAAGGCCACTTTTCTGTAGGGCACATTCCTATAGTACAGCACAAATAGGAAGAATTGGAAAGGGCACACAAAATCTCCAAGGCCAATGAGAGGGGCATTGAGGCCAATCAAAGGGGCATCCAAGGCCTGGCCTTGGATGGCCTTGGATTAATTTAAGCCCTGTTAGTTCTAAACAGTTTTTAATACACAGAGTGTACTAATGCCATGGCTGTAATGCTGCTACGTGTGCTTCATTCACAAGTATAACAAAAGCCAAAAGCCAAAGCCGGATGGTGATGTTAAAGGGCCGTCCCCAGACGTAAATAATGATATCTGATTGTACACATCTGTACAAACCCAATTACACACACACACACACACACACCAAGGCAACTCAATTCACAACAAGTGGGACTACATCCCGATTCACTTGATTCAAATAAGTTCCGACAACAAATACATCATACATGCTCAAAATCAATACTAAAAGCATTTAATAATGAAACCTACGCTTCATTGTAGACTTTGTTTCATTTCCATATTTATACACATCATCCAAGTTGCATTCATAGTTCGGAAGACAACAAATTCATGAATTAATACTGACGTTCCGTTCCATTTTCACAGTTATGTGTTATCGGCTGCCGTGAATAGCTAGACTCTTTGCACTGCGTTTTAGCATTGTGCTCGCTATCAGAGCGATACACAGAAGGGACAGTAACGATGAAAATCAATAAACTAACGACTGGTAGCATTTAGCTAATTGAGTACCGCAGAGTTTACTGTATCCATGGAGCTCCGACTCAGCTTCACTAGCGCCATCTCACGGCCACTGCCAGTTAGCGTGCATGTGTATAATTATATTCAAGAACCTAACTCCTTGTTTACATTATTTAATGATTTGTAAGAAATATGTACGAGAGAGGGAAATGTTGTTTCAAGGTTGAAAATTAAAGATAAGAGTTTAATGAATTCAATGGGGGTGAAAATCATCTGCACGGTCTGTTGGCTTTTATCAGGGTAGGGGGTCTATGTGAGTTAAAACACCTCCCTGCTTTCATAAAAGCCACAGATAGATACCACTCATTATAGAATTATATATAGGCCTAAACGCCAAAGTTTATATACTTTGTTGTTACTCGCCTTCTCTCTCTCTCTCTCTCTCTCTCTCTCTCTCTCTCTTGGAGAGGAAGGGAAGGAGAAGTATAGTTTAGCACTGCACAGTTCGATTATTAATAAAATACTCGCGTCCCGGTTTATTGCCCGCACCATCGAATGAACGGAAGCTGTGATACCCACTTGCGGTAATCAATATTCGAGCCAGAGAAAAATAAACAGCGCCATCTAATCATCACTGATGAATAACTCGAAAAGCAGTATAAAAAAAATAAGACGCAGCCAGGCTAGGCGGAAATAATCTGTTCAGATTGGTCACCCTTACACACCCAACAACAACTTGGTGTGTATGCATCTTTGCACCTGGCTCTCGTAAGCACAGTTATCAGTCTGCAAGAATCTTCAACTGTGGAGGAGGCAGACTCAACTCAAAGAAGAAGAAGTGACACTTTCCCTTTGTAACAAGTGGCCCTTCCCCTTTTAATATCTACCCCTTTTTAACTCCGTTTAGCGCACCTTTTATTTTCACATGTGCCCCTTTTTCTTATTAAAAGTGCCCCCATTAAAAAAGAGCTCCCTTCCCTTCTCAATTATGTCCCCTTTTCACTTAATATGAAAAGTGTCCCTTTTTATGCTTATAAGTGCCCATTCCCCTTCTCACAATTACCCCCTTTTTCTGATAAGTACACATGGGTGGAGAGCCCCCCCCCCCCCACTCAGTGTTATTTAGGGTACGCATATGCGTGTTCCCTCCATTTGAAAACACCCCCTAAGTCCGGTGTGTAAAGTCAATTTTGTGTATGTACGAGCCGGACTTTGGTGCGTGAAAAGTACCCCTTTACCGGACATTTTGGTAACAAGCATGCGGTCATTCCGACCCCGGAATGGGGGGGGGGGGGGGGGGTGGAGATTGCATTCATGTCTTGTCAATTAAAGGACATTAGTATAGGGCTTGAATCCCAACCCTCAATCCTAGAGTTGAGATTTAAGTGAATGAACCACTATATACCACACACCTCCACGTTCCTGACATACACAAAATGTAACTGTGTAAAATGGTGTAATTAAAGTGTTCCAGTCCCCCCCCCCCCCCCGACAGGGGGAGGCGAAAAGGGAGGGGGCAATAATTTTTAGCTTTCATCATTAGAAATATTATTGCAAAATATCAGGTCATATATATTTTGTGTGTAGTGTTCAGGACAGCTGAGTGGTATAGTAAAATCTTTGACAGTGAACGCCGACAAAAATAGGGGAGGGGGAGGGGCGGGTGCCGGGGATCGTCAAAAAGAGGGGATGATTAAAGATACATGCAAAATCATGATATAACTTTCAAAATCATGGAGACGCCGAGAAATAATAATAATAATAATATTCAGTTTTTATACAGCGCTTAATACATCTTGGACGCCTCTAAGCGCTTTACAAATATACTATTACTCCGGTCATTGGATTCAGTGCTTGCCCGCACACGATTTGTGCACAATAACCGCTCCCTGGGGAGCATTCCAGCCAGGCCAGACTTGACGATCACAAACTGTTTGACCAACAATGACAGTCGCATCCTACCGGGTACCCATTTTAACACCTGGGTGGAGAGTAGCAAGTGTAGGTTCATATCTTGCCAAAGGATATTAGTGCCGTATCGGGATTCGAACCCTCGACCTTCGCATCTCGAGTCACGCGTCTTAAACCACTCGACCAAGACACTCCTACGAAAGAGGGGAGGGGGGGGGGTGTAAAACGTGGTGAATTCATCCTTCCATTGCTCCTCAAATTGAATGGCGCCACCAACCTCCTTACAATCTATACATGTACATCCTCCTTCCGGCAAGACTATATCAACACTTCGATAGCTGTACCGCGCGGAAGGCGGACCTGCCTAATCAATAACCGTCAATGCTGGTATAACAGACAATGCAAGAGGCGAAAGAGGTAAGCATAAATGGGTACACGATTAATCGATCGCATCCATCTCGCGCTGTATCGGAGTTTATCGGTCGTCAGCTAGCAAAATACCTCAGTAAAGCACTTCACTTCATCGCTTTGCCAGTGCCTCGTGTGGGGGAAATAGTAGGCCTATACTTTCTGCCATACACCGAATGTAATTTGAGAGAGGTGAACGACAATATATTTAGGAGGATTGTTCCTGTGATGTGCCACAAAATGATTATTCAACTCGTAGGATCATAATAATCATCATGATTGCATTCTGTGGATAATTGCCACTCGTTTATCTTCTGGAATTATTCGTTGGAATCTTTGTTTGTATATGCAGTGTAAACGGAATCACATCACGGATGAATGGCAAGTTCATGGTATGTTGGTTGGCGTGTCATTGTTATATATTAGTATTTTATGTTACATCACAACTTGTTCAGAGGAACAGAGAGCAGAGTTCCGGCGAGACGTAGTGTTAAATTAATGACATTTAAAGTAAAGGAAATACAGAGTTCACAGCTTCATACATGAAGAGATTGATTCGAAAAAGCTTTAAAATTGTGTGTGTCCTAATTGTTTATAATAATTATGTGGTTATGAGCTTTCCTATATATTATATATTATATATACACACACAACACCCACACACATAATTATCTATACATATTATATGCCAAATGATTAATTACATTTCTAAAATTATACAGTATTCAGTGTGTTGTGAGTTAACTTTCTGATGTGTAAAGCGGTAGTATAATGAATTTCAACCAGATCATCAGAAGAAAAATAACAGCCCCTATTAGAAATTGGGGGTCTAGGACTATTTTTCCAGGGCGAGGTGCGATGTTTTAACTAGACCTATAGACAGGGGTGGTTCGAATGGTCCATCTGTGAGGAATGTGCATTTCTCTCTCTCTCTCTCTCTCTCTCTCTCTCTCTCTCTCTCTCTCTCTTTCTCTCACTATGTTCGTATTTTTTTCCCCCTCCTCCGTCCTTTTCTTTTTTATTTACTTTTCTTTTTTCTACCTTATGGCAGAAGTGCCCCAACCCAGTCCCTGATAAACCTATATCTATGTATGTATTATTAGCTAATAATCATAGCGTTAGCGGGGATAATTACCAAAAACACTCCGTAGTATGAACTTATAGTAGTTGCCGTCAAGCGTAGCACGTTTAGTCAAATTTGATATCTGCACGAGTATTGATCCATCATTATGTTCATTGCTTTTACAATCACCATAACAGCCATTCGGTACATCAATTAATGAATTCCAGAAATCATAAATAAGTTATCATATAACGACTGTTATCAGTGGCGTACCTGGGGTACTCCGTCAGGGGGGGCAAGCGACCGAAACAAACAAAAAAGGCGATACTAATTTTCACTTCTGGCGAGCGAGCGAGCAAAAAAAATCTTTAAGTAACGTTTGGTATATAAACTGGTATTGTTGCAAGTTGGGGGTGGGAACATTCACTTGTTAGCGACGTTAATTTCATTTTTTTGCAAACGAGCGTAGCGAGCAAGAAAAAAATCACTTCTTTTTTAATAATTGTCACTTAATTAAACTTGGTTCAATTGTCCCATGCAGGGCGCGGGAACAATATTGTGTTTAGGCTAATTTTATACCCATTTTAGCTAGCGAGCGAAAATACATCTTTCTCTCAATGAATTGCTATATAAAATTTGTTTCATTGTTGCAGGTCGGGGGCGGGCACAATCGTGTTTAAGGCAATGTCAATCCCATTTTGGCGGGCAGGCAACCCCCTACATTTCTCTTTTTAATGATATTGTAGCAGGTTAGTGGTGGGCACATAATTCCACGAGCTAGCGAGCGTAGCGAGCGAGCGAAAAAAAATCACTTCTCTTTTATAGGGAAAATATGGTACATAAAACTTGGGTTCATTGTTCCATGTCAGGGACGTGATTATTAAAAGCGGTGTTATTTCTATTTTGGCGAGCGAGCGTAACGAGCGAGCGAAAAAAAAAATCACTTCTCTTTTATAGGGAAAATATGGTACATAAACTTGGGTTCATTGTTCCATGTCAGGGACATGATTATTAAAAGCGGTGTTATTTCTATTTTGGCGAGCGAGCGTAGCGAGCGAGGAAAAAAAAATCACTTCTCTTTTATAGGGAAAATATGGTACATAAACTTGGGTTCATTGTTCCATGTCAGGGACGTGATTATTAAAAGCGGTGTTTTTTCTATTTTGGCGAGCGAGCGTAGCGAGCGAGCAAAAAAAATCACTTCTCTTTTATAGGGAAAATATGGTACATAAACTTGGGTTCATTGTTCCATGTCAGGGACATGATTATTAAAAGCGGTGTTATTTCTATTTTGGCAAGCGAGCGTAGCAAGCGAGGAAAAAAAAATCACTTCTCTTTTATAGGGAAAATATGGTACATAAACTTGGGTTCATTGTTCCATGTCAGGGACGTGATTATTAAAAGCGGTGTTATTTCTATTTTGGCGAGCGAGCGTAGCGAGCGAGCAAAATTTTTGTAATGATAGTTGGTTCATAAATTTCAGATTTTTTTGTTGCAGGGCAGGGCTTACACAATCATGTCTACGGTGATGTTAATTCCGTTTTGGCGAGCACGAGCACACCAAAACTTCTTTGAATAACGTTTGGTACATAATTATTAACTGGTTGTTGCAGGTTGGGGCGGGCACGTTAGTGGTGTTAATTCCGTTTTGGCGAGCACGAGCACACCAAAACTTCTTTGAATAACGTTTGGTACATAATTATTAACTGGTTGTTGCAGGTTGGGGCGGGCACGTTAGCGGTGTCGATTCCATTTTGGCGGGCGAGCATAGCGAGCAAGCAAAAAAAAAATTCTCTTTTAATAGAAATTAATAAATAAACTGGTTTTTATTGGTGCAGGTCAGGATGGACGCAATCGCGTTCAACGCGATTCAATTCCTTTTTGGCGAGAGGGCGAAAAAAACTCTTCCATTTTTAATTATATTGTTGCAGGTCAAGGGTGGGCACAATTGTTTTCAAAGCAATGTCTATTCATTTTATTCGCGAGCGAGTGTAGTGAGCGAGAAAAATGAATTGGTCTCTTTTAGTAACATTTGGTACATACATTGTGTGTTATTGTTGCCATGGTTGCAGGCATGGTTGCCGTCGGGGCAGGCACAATTGTATTCTAGGCAATGCTAATCCTTTTCTTTTTTCAGGGGGACGAGCAAGTGAAAACATTTAATACAAAATAGGCTAGCAAGCAGTTCGCGCCAGCGAAGAGTTTCAAATTTGTTATATCACTTATATTTTCCTATTTTCATTTGTCTGAATTTTTCAGGGCCGTATGCGGAATATTTTTCTGGTGGGGGAGGGGGAAAGATGCGTTAAAAGTTTTCGAAGAATCTCAAAAGCAAAAGGAGTGAAGCGAGTTCGAGCGACCGAACTAGTCATGAGGGTACTTTTGCATTTTCAAAAGTAGAATTGAAGGATTTGGTATAGGCCTACACTACATTTTCAGGAAAAAAACTGTACGTTTTCAAAATATCTGGGGTCAACTGCCCCCCCCCCCCTGGTGCGTACGGCCATGGTCTTTTTTTTTTTTAATTTCCCCATTTTTTTCCTTTCCTTTTCTTTTCCCTTTTTCTTCCTTTTCTCTTCTTCTTCCTTTTTTCTTTCCTTTTCCTTTTTTTCCTTTTTTCTCTTTCTTTCCCTTTTTTCTTCCCTTTTCCTTTTTTCTTTTTCTTTCCTTTCCTTTCTTTTCTTTTCTTTCCCCTTTTTCCTTTTTTCCCCCTGGAGCCCATCAGGGGGGGCACTCTGCCCCCCTGCCCCCCCATAGGTACGCCAGTGACTGTTATACTCATCATACATCAATGTCTTCACCGCAGTGTAATGAGTACCGCGTCAATTACAACCACACAGAGGCGTAGCATGGGTCCAGGAATTCAGGGGGCACTGGCATCGTTGGGCGGGGGCGGGGGCACGCCTATCTCACAAGATGCATGCAATTTAAAGGCCTTCGAGAGGATGAGAGGGGGTTTTACATCTTTTGATTCACGTTACTTTTCCCTTCTCCCTTTCTTTCCTCCCTTTTTATTTCATTTTCATTTTGTCCGCCGTGCGATCGGGGGGCATGTAACCCCTTGCCCGTGTAGCTACTCCTCTGCAACTGACCCTAAAATAAATAGAACCGTTCTGAAAGTTAGATGACCATGGCCCGTTTTCTTGAATGACGTTCGTCCACTAATAGCATTCTAAAAATGTCAGTGTAACTGAATAGGCTCGATGATGTCAGGGGAGACCCTATTAGTTCTCCTCACGATGACAGGCCCATAGCTTTTGACATTTCCATCCCCCATTTCCATCCAGCGATGAGAAACATGATGACAGGTAAGACTAATTATATCAGCGTCAGTCCAGGGGGTGGGGGAGTGGGGGGGGGGGGGGCTATAGTCCATACGTTGCTTCTGTATGGACATCCGAAGAAAAATTACTCAAATGTTGCATAGCAATATTATGACTAATAATCTATTACAATTATTGGAAGCCTTTATGGAATTGAGCCATCGCTTCAATCTAATTAAACCTGATTGTAGTACTTAGAAATAATATTCTACACCATAAATAAAACATTATGTAACTGTACTCATCACTGGTTCCTTACAAGATTAACAAAAATAACAATAGAGTTAAAGATGCACTTCACTTCTTATTTTCATTCTTTCAGACGATCATAACTATACAGCCCATGTTGTTTTATGCCATCATTTAAGTTCATTATGATTTACGTTTTTCTCTTTCTTAAATTCAGTGTGCAATTTTATTGTATGTAAGGTATCACTTTGGATTTGTTTTCAGAATTTTGTTATAATAGAAAACTGCAAATATCATACACACTGTAAAATTATATGTCAATTAAAAAATGTGGTGTGCTACAGGTATTTGCAGACTAACACAAAGTCATGTAATATCTATCACCCTGAGTTTATTGCCATGCAAATGATTATATCACTAATTGGTGAATGTAATAATTCTCGTCAAAATAACAGGGATTGACTAATTTGCCTAATCTATTGAGAAGCCTAAAACTGTGATTGCTCTTTTACATAATCACTAACTGATTCACCCAGATGGCCAGGCATTTAATCATGGTATCAGCAAATCTGTATGAATAGAATTTCAATATTTTAATATAAGACAACATTGACATTCAGTTTGGATGCTGAAGAAGGCTAATTACATTTCTGTCCGTCCGTCTGTCTGTCGCCCCCTCTCTTTCTCTCTTCTTTCTTTACCCTCTCTTTCCCTCTTTCTTCAGTTAGTTCGGTTTGGTTCAGTCTCTCTCTATCTTTCTCTCCCTCTCTTTCTCTACCTCTCTTTCTCTCCCTCCATCCCTGTTTCTTCCCTCCCCCTCTCTCTCCTTTATTCAATTTATTTATGTATTTATTTATCATGTTTTAATTTAAAATAATGTAGTCTTTTTCTGAGTCAACGGCCTACTGTAAAATATAGCTGGCGCCGCGTCCTTCTCTTTCCTTCTTTCTTTCTCTCTATCTTCCTCTCCCTTTTCCCCCTCTATCCTTCTATATCCCTCTCTATCTCCCTCCCCCATTACCCCCCCCCCCCCCATCTTCCTCCGTCTCCGAGCTCCCTCTCCCACTCTCTGTACCGAGTGCATCGTCTGTTGGACCAATGCCATGGCATAATCATCCCCGTCAACGTATACGGGAACCAGATTCAAGATTCTTCAGATTCCTCTCGTTTAATTCATGCATCCTTGAAACACGGTTGCTAGGGCAGGGGGGGGGGGGGGGTCAAGAGGGTGAGGATGATGGTTAATTGCCGATTGGTCTACAGCCAGTTCGTCTACTACCAATTAGTCTATTCCCATATGGTCTACTCATCATTTGATCTAATTACTACCCAATTAGTCTATTCCCATATGGTCTTCTTATCATTTGATCTAATTACTACCCGATTAGTCTATTCCCATATGGTCTAATTATCATTTGATCTAATTACTACCCAATTAGTCTATTCCCATATGGTCTACTCATCATTTGATCTAATTACTACCCAATTAGTCTATTCCCATATGGTCTACTCATCATTTGATCTAATTACCATTAAGGCTAATAGTCATTTGGTCTAATATCCATTAAGGCTAATATTAATTTGGTCTAATTTCCATATGGTCTAATCTCCAATTAATCTACTACCCATTTGGTCTATTGTTCGTTTAGTTAAATATCCAGTTTCTCTAATGCCCATTTCGTCTACCATCCATAAGGTCTAATAGTTATTTGATGATTATTAATAGTAATTATCAAATTTATCATTAGACCATAATGTATACTAGACAATATGGGCATTAGGCAAACTGGGAAATAGACCGACTGGAAAGTAAAATGAGCAATAGACCCTGAGTAGTAGAATTAAACCAATTGGGCAGTAGACGAACTGGTAGTAGACCAAACGGCAATAAACCATGATGATGGTCATGCAAAGGGAACCAGTGTAGATCGAGATTATTTCAGAGCAAGGATCACCATCACTTCATGATCAAGTGCATAGCTCTTCTCCGCATCCTTCATCCCTATTATGAAATCATAAATCTACTTTCAAGTGCATGATAACGAAGGAGGCGCCCCTCTCTCTCGCTCTCTTTCTTTTTGTTCAGTCTCACCGTCTATATCCCTCGCACATACACATACGCACACACCTACACACCCACACATAAATCCACGCACGCACACACCCACCGTGACACTCGATTACAAGACTTCAACAGTTAATTTTCATAACCAGATAACGGATAATTCCAGTGATACTGTAACTGTCAAGAATCTAAGTAAAATATGCGCGTTATGATGAAACGGATCCTAATCAAATGATTGGTTGAGAGGGTACACGTGACCAGGCATTTATTTTTGCCTAACACGTAATTTTACTAACGACCGGTCATTAGTAAATACTTATGACCGGTCATTAGTAAAATCATGTTAGAAAAGATCATTTTATAAAACAAATAAAACATCATTTCATGTAACAAATAAAACAACATTTTATAAAACAAATAATACACATCATTTTGTTCGGGCATTAGTAAAATTGCCCACACTCGGTACCTTTGAAACAGTCCAAACACCCTCGGCTGTCGCCTCGGGCGTGTTAGACTGTTCCAAAGATTCTTACTCTTGCCCCCACTGCTGTGTTTTATTTGAATATTACCAGGGGCCCAACCATCTTTTAAAGCATGCATTATAAAATCGAGTTAAACTGATAGTACTATAGTTCATATTATACTTATACGAAAAAAGCCTGCTTCATAATTCCAATTTCTAATTAGCCTACCCGTATATTGCATTGCATTGTATTGTATTGTGTTGCCAACAATGCTCAATTATATTTTTTCCAAGCTTGTGACTTATTGCATCCACCAGGGTTGCAAAATGAACGATGCGAGCGAGAGAAAAGGCATTTATTACATGCCAAAAATATATCTCAATATATCGTAACAATACACGTTTAATGAAGTATTGCTTTAGATGTACAAAACAGTTTCGACGCATGGACGGAAGTCCTTGAAATGATATTATAAATCTCCGGTTTGGCTACGTATATACGCGACCCCTCACCCGCCACGCTTTCCAATATAAAAGTGCATTGGATTTGGATTGGATTTCGTAATCAATCATCGCTAGTCCATAGCAGAGGGAGGTGTAGATAAGATTAAGTGGGGATTGTAAGAGGATAAAGTATGATTGATGATGCTACGTTCTTTTATTTGGATTTAATCCATGCCGATATACCCGGAAGGACGTGATACATTGTAATGAACTCCGGCAAGTCATACCGAAATATTGACTGCATAGATAATTCATAGTACATTTACCTTCTCAAAGTTGCAAATGTTATTATAACATTTGATTCATGTGTGCGTGTGTGTGTGTGTGTGTGTGCGTGTGTGTGTGTGTGTGCGTGCGCGTGTGTGTGTGTGTGTGTGTGTGCATTGACGTATTGAGCAAAAACTTTGGGGGACAGAAAAAAATCTGCATCACTATCAGATGGCATAATGGGCAATTGTTTTTGTTTTGGGGGCAGTAGCATTTCTGAATCAATCCTTTCGCAGTGAATTCATTTCCAAAAGAATTGCCAAAGCTGTGGCATATAGGTTATTTTCTTACATTATGTATATGCTGTATATATAACAAGTTGAAATTATATATGTAAAGCGTCTGAAACTTCGAATATTTGCCCATAGATTACAATATGTAACCTGTGATATGTTTATGTATCAACGATGTTTGATAAGATATAATACAATACACAAACATTCATGGGTAAAATTTGAATAAAAAGCAATGAAGATCCCCTCATGTTCTGCATTCATGTAGGATTTTAATATCATTATAAAGATTTTGAAAATAGAATTAAGCCTAACAAATATCATGCTTGCTTAAAACATGGACCTGACACAATTTTGTTTAAAGCTTAATTTAATTGGAGGCAAGATGAATTGATTGAGCTATTGGTGTAGTCCTTTAACAAATTTCAAGTTATATCACTGTTCGTCGTTTTAGAGAAGAGAGCTCAATAATTAAAATTATACAAGTTCGGAAGCTATAATTTTTTTATTGAGGTTTCCCCTTGCTAATTGCATTTCTGAAGCAATAATCTTTTTGACAGAATCTTTCTTTGACATGTAAGTCCTACACGCCCTTATCAACTGTCACATGAAATCAAAATTAAATTTATCTCAATTTTGTAATCTATATATTTTGGACTAGGTAAAAGACTTGTTTGAAAGGTAAATTTGTTATTCTATTTTCTCCCTTCTCATTGCAATTCTGAATCAATTCTTAACAAAAATCTCTTTGTGACATACACAGCCCCTTTCAGTCATGAAAAATTAGTTTACATCGTTCTTGATACAATAGCTCAATTAAAATTAAATTCTATCTTAAAGATAAAGTTGAGTTCTGGTAATGCGATTGCATTGTGAAAGAAACGGTGTGGAATTGATCAGAAAAGGTTGATCAACTAGCATATAAGTATTGGTGTGTACTGTACTGCAAGGTTCTGGAATCATCAAAATGATAAGAAATTTGGCCCAGTCTTGGTAAAGTTACAAGCACTGTACACAGAAAGATGTATATAGGACTACACAAACACGTGACGTAAAAATCTGTCCCGATTTGTATGCTGTTACATGCCATATTTAGAATATGAAGGCATTTGAACGGGCATGCTTTTCAGGGAACATGTTTTATCTGATGTTCTTCCACACTTGCATAATAACAATGATAACGCTCACAATTTATTTTTCACCTGTTCCCAGAACTCTACCTTCTCTTTAAGTTTAGAATCTATACATTTTGAACATGGTAATACGAGACCCAGTTAAAAGTAACTTCATTATTCGATTTTTCCCTTGCTGATTGCAAATATTAATCAATTTGTTAACAGAAAGCTCTTTTATGTATTTATCAGTCTACGTGATCCCGTGATATCAATTCAGCATGGAAGTAATTAATCAGTGTTGTCTCAATCGGCCCATCGCATGCTGCCACGCTCTGTTGATTAAACCATGAATTGGTATGTGAGTGGCATGTAGGCCTATACTCATTACCGCTGTGCACATAATGAGCTTTATTCATAGCTGAATATAATATTTGAGGGAGGGGGAGATGGGGGGAGAAGGATATAGTTATGGAAATGAATGCAGAGAGAGAGAGACACACATACAGACAGATAGACAGACAGAGAGAGAGAGAGAGAGAGAGAGAGCGCTGGGAGAGAGATGAAGACTAGATGAGAAGGAGGGAAGAGATGAAGAGAGCAATAAAAGGGAGATGAAAAGAGAGAGAGAGAGAGAGAGAGAGAGAGAGAGAGAGAGAAAGAGAAAGAGAAAGAGAGAGAAAGAAAGAAAGAGAGAGAAGAGTAAGTAAACAATAACAAAATATGATTAATCAAATGATCGAAATTAAAGCCTCCAACATCATTGTTACTGTATCTATATCAATGTTACACAGACCTTGAAATTTCGAGCAAAAATAGCTTAAATATACGGGGTCCTAGAGAAAAATATATGCTAAGTCATGTTGGTAACGACTTAGTATAAACATTTTTTCGTTCATGTCCTCTCCCGACCTTCGTATGGACACCACTAACGAAACAACGTTTGCTTTAATTGTCTGCATTAAAAGATTTTGTTTGCATTATTCCTATCGCATTAAAACAATACTGTGCTCAGCTGAAAACCGGAATGGTATGTCGCAATGCCTGAACGTATGATAATTAAAACGAATGGTACAATTTTCTTGACATTGTATCTGACTGTGTGTTTATTTTTTTTTGTTTGTCTTTTCTTTTCTTTTTTTCTTGACAGATGTCGAATAAAACCCGGTTGCCTGCACTGGATGGCAGCAAACGTGATGCGAAGTCATCGACCACGGGTACGGGAGCGCCGACGAAGCAGGGCAAGAATACGATGGTTGATCCATCGGATCCTAGGCGTGGTCACATGAGCAAGATGAAGTTTCCTAACATCAGCGATACTTATCTGTATAGTCAACAGGTACGTACTCATGGGGAGATGCATGATTTATTTTAAAGGGTGTGGGGGGGGGGATACAATCCTACAAAAAAACAGGTAGGTTAGCAAGCAAGAAAAGTGGTTATGACAATTTTTGGTGTTTTCTTGGCATGGTGGCTCAGTGGTTAGAGCGCCCGCCTCATGAACGGGAGGTCGGGGGTTCGAACCCCGGCCGAGTCATACCAAAGACTTATAACAATGTGACCTTCTGCCTTCTAGCTAGGCGGTCAGCATATTAGATTGGAGAAGGGTAGTAATAACATATTATATTAGATAGCTTAGACAGATACCGAGATGTGATTGGTCCAGGGCTCGTCACGTGATATCAATTGCGAGGATCCAAATTGTTATATTTTCCTGGCCGGTCACTTTTCAGTGTTATATTTTACCGGCTGGTGAAATGAATATATTTTTAATCAATGCATATCGCCCTCTTGAGGACTGTATGTCACCAATTACATGCATTACACCATTATCGAGGGCCATTTTATTTTTTCATGAATTTTTTTTTTCCCTAGAAATTTTTTTTTCCACATTTTTTTTTTTTCCCCAAAAAATGCTTTTTTGGGTAAATTTTTTTTTTTGATAATTTTTTTTTGTTTCCCGAAAAATGCTTTTTGGGGTAAGAATTTTTTTTTTTTTTTTTTTTTTCCCCCAATTTTTTTTTTTTTTTTTTTTCTTTTTAAGGTAATCTCGACACATTATTTTTCCGTAATTTTGATTGTCCCCGAAAAAAAAAGAAAAAAAATTTCGGGCTAAAAAAAATATGGACCCCCCCCCCCCCCCAAAAAAAAAACCCATGGCTATCTAATATAACAGTTATTGACTGGCAGGGGGTATATAACATTCTTTGGACCTGAAGGGAGTTATATTTTCCCTCGTGACCATATTTTCCCTCAGCGCTGCGCGCTTCGGGAAAATATAACCACTTGGGAAATATAACTCCCTTCAGCGGTCCAAATAATGTTATATTACACCCCCTGCCAGTCAATAACTGTATAATGTTATGCAGGGCCCGCTGGAAGAGCAGTTTCATAACTGAAGTGGCTACCCTGGGTAAATAAAACGTTGTTATTATTATTATCTATTATCTCTATTTCATAGCTTGGAAGCCGTTGGGACGACAACACACTGACATTGAGATTCAGGTTCTCCATAACTTCCTGTCTTCAGCTATTCTAGTATAGCTGATCAAATTACATTCCCATCCACTGCTTGATCTAATTATCAGTCCATGTCCTAGTTCGTCTGCCCAATAATAGAAGAAAGATGGCATCTTTCTTCTCCCATCAGTCCCTCCTTGCAAGATGGTATTTACCAAGCTATTCTTCCATTCAGTTACATGCCCAAACCACTATAGCTGTCTTCCTTTTACAATTATTGTGAAACTCTCCATTATCTCTTTCGCTTTCTTGTTAGACATAAGCGAAGTGTAGTGTCTATATGCAGAAGCCTTATCGGTGATAACTGTCTTGATTAAAATTGAAAGGAGGGGGAGGGGGGCACATTTTGGGTTGTGTATACTTGTACGCTTCTTTGATTTCATAACGGCGGAACGGCTGAATTGTGCCCCGTTGGTCCATTAATGGGTAGAGTAGTTCCCTCCCATATATTTTGCCGTTTTATTTATTCCTTCATGTTTAAAACATTTGTTATGTTGTGTTTTATTACCATGTGTAAATTTGCAATGTTTGTGTATTATATATTTTGTAAAAATGCACACACAAAAAAAAATCAAACAAAAATAAATAAATCAAATTAAATCAAAACGGCACTGCACGATTTGAAAAAAAAAATGACCATTACGTATTGAGTGAAAAAAGAAAGATACGGGCACGAGGCGGGACCTAATGGGGGCTGCAGCCTATTAAAAACTTAAGAACATCAGTAATACCATATGGGGCAACCGTCACCTCTGCTGAATGTATATTTTTGATACTTAACTTATAGGAGATTTTACGATGAAATAGCATTTTCACTATAATGCGGTTTCAAAATGTGTGTACGTCATAATCAATATCATGCAGGATTGATTGTAATGTTCCTTTCTTTTTTTTTGACTGGATCTATACAGCTCCTGGTGGATACCTGTATAGCGCTCCACGGGATCATTCTCCAGGATCTGAGCATGGGCAAGCGGGAGCTTCTTAAAGATTCTTTCTTCATCCAGGGAAGATTCTATGAGACAGTCACGTACATCATGAAACAGCAGGATAAAACATTAGACCAGGTAAAAAAAGGACTGTCTGTATTATTGTTTAGTTTTTAACTTTAAATCATAAGTGGTTTTGACTTTTGATTTTGTGAATCTACATAAATATTAATTATTGTTTTTAGTTCGATTCAATATTTACAGCCGTTATTAGATAACTCACTCTAGGGATATGGCGGGGGTGGGGTATGCTACTTCATACCTCCATCAAATTAATTATTTAATTTTATTTAAATCCTATAATAACTTCAATCAATTTTGGTATGAGTCCTATTGATTTGATATTCTCAAAACATTTTAAACCCTTTTGACAAACTTTTCGGCAAATTCTGTCCGACAACAATTTCTCGTTATTGTCACACACCTATCGCAACCAATACATCAACGCTGGAGAGAGAGAGAAGCTTGGGAGAATAAGTGGTCACAAACCGAAGGGGGTTGGATTGATAACTGAACTTTCATTTAGCATTAAAGATATTTAGAATCAACATTTTTTTTTAAAGGTGATGAGTAATCCTAATAACTTTTTATTATTTCAGGTAATGATGGAGTATGAGCATCCCAGGTTAAAATACCTGCGAGGACGCGTCGTCATCCAACCCAAGATCGATCTCGTGCTCGCCCGTCGGAAACCCGAGCAGGTGTCCGTCTCCGCGCTGATGCTCCGGAAAAGAACGGCAGGCTACGAACCCGACTCGCGAAGCGTCCGAAGCGACATGGCCCGTCTGGCGTATCTTGTCCTGGAGAGGGCCTTCCAGTGGGGCTTCTACCTCTGGATCGGACCCATCGAGGAATTAAGACACTTTGAAATGATGAACAGTTATGCGGCTTTATGTGAAGCCGATGGACAGAAGAGGAACTATATCGTCTTGCAGAAACACACGTTGGTGTTGCCTCGACTTGGGAAACCTATACCGTCGACATTTCAAACGACACTTTTGTTGAACCGTATATCACCGGACTTTTGCCTAAGGTTGTACCGCATCGAACCCGAGATGACGATGTGGGATGACAAGGACGACGACGTCGCTAGGTAAGGTGTGATCTCGACATTATGGAGATCGACGACCAGGAAAATCTCACTTAAATCAATGTAAACAGTTGCAATTAAACGAAACTCTAAAAATCAAATCTAACTTGACTTTTAACCAAATAGTCAAATATTTAGGGAGGGGGGGTTAATTTGTATTTTGTGTTTAAAAGAAGTTTTGTTTTGTCAGGCAGAGAGTATTATTTAAGAGTAACATAGTTTCGTTTCACCAATTTGAAATCGATTTAATGCATTATCGCTATAACTTTGTTTTTATATTCAAGGCTCTATATTTGGTTCTAATTTCATAATTGATTTATATTTAATTTTAATTTAGTGAAGTATAGAATTCATCTAAATATAATGCTTTGGTGCTTTTTTCCCTTAGATTATACGATTTCTACAGCGGCAGTGGGAGCATTCATACGGGGCTTGGGATGTGGGGGATCAGTGACCAAATCAAGAATGTCAGAACACAGCTCATGAAGATCAGAGACTATGTAGAGGTAAGCAGACACCAATTCAATTCTCAATTTTTCATTAAACTATATTTCATGTATGCAATTGCTTTTCAGTATGTAGAGAAAACAGCGCTTTCGTTTCATTAATATCGGATTGGGCGTGTTCATACGGCGCATGACAGACGCTCTCTCTTATAGATGATTTTGAATTGAACTGTATACAATTTTCATCGTATAAACATATTAATGTTTTGTCCTAAAAGCATGAGAGAAAGAAAGAGTGGAGAGGGGGAGGAAGAGATTGGGTGCGGAGTGTCTGTTTGAGTATTTTACAGAATGGGTTCTTTTAAGGCCCCACTGCACTACTACTAGCTACTTGCGCCCTCTTTATAGCAAACAATACCTAATTGGTTCCTGTTGGTCTCCCATGATCCTCTTTTTCTTATGTTAATTGAGAGCTGATTTGATGAGATAACCAGCTGTCAGTGACCTTGCAGGAAGGTCTAACCCCCTGGACAAACTAGTGCAGACTGGCTTTAAGACATGAAAAAGTAGAGGAGAGATAGTTATGTTCTATACCCCGCCTGTATTCCTTACTAAAACAAAAAGAATGAAAAACATAAACATGACATGAGATGATGTCTATGTTCCTTTCCTCTCCGAATTAGTATACGCTTCAATCTTTATGAACGCTTCCATATCTCAAGTTTAACTTGATAATGATGATTTTTTTTTTTAAATTAAAAAAACATAATTTACCTATTCCATGCAATTTTCAGGCCAGCCTTTTCGACCGTGCTCGTGCCATGCTGATGATGGCGAGGGTGATGTTCACGGATCTCGTGGTCGTAAAGAACCTGGAGCGGGATGAGATCGAGGAGACGAACTATATCAAGCATCACATGGACGAGTTGAAGCTTAGGATAGAGCAAGGCTTGAAACAAGGGGCGTGGGACTCATCGACGGATGACGATATATACAGCGATGACGGAAAATAACGACGCGATTTGCATTTAGATGCAGTGTGGCAGCGAACGTTAGTTATGCGGTACGCCGGTTGAAATGATGAAAAGGGAAATAACGAAATATTATTATAGCAAACGGGTTTATTGATACAGCTTTCAGAAGAGGAGGCCATTTTTAATTGCCACTGACATCTAGCGGAGAGTCAGCACTGAATGACTGCGCGCGCATACTGACAACAAGCTGAAAGGAATATGGACACGGTGAGCTGAGAGTGAAGACAATCTGTTGAAAAAGGGAATACAATGTCGCCTAAAATGCAACAATGCATTCATATTGGGTATATAATTTATGACATCTCGCCAATAATTTATTGAATTTGTAGGTTATTCTTCCCAGTTTTGCTGATAACAAACTGTTGGATCCAAATACTATAGTCTATTTAAAGTGAAACCTTCCTTATTGGAAACATCGATCTCCTTGATTGAAAAGGAGTGTTCCAAAAAAAGCCAAGTCGTACAATTTTTTATTGTTTTAAAGGGTAGGTTTGAAAATCAGATCCAAATGGTATATTATTTTGTAGCATAACCAAACATTCATTGAATACACATTTGAAGAATTGTAACTTGATTTCACTACATGAAGAGTGGCGTAGTGTAAGTCCAAGCATAGAGGGGCACTTGGAGTGGGGGGGGGGGGGGGTCACCTGTTTCACTCGAAAATTAATTCACAAAGCCTCTGATTAGAAGAAACGTGTAGGAGAGGATCTTCTCCTACTCTTTTCCAATTTCCAATTTCTATTCTTCCTTTAATCTCCTTTAATCTTTGTCCACCGTTTCCATTTTGTCTATGTCATTATTTTGATGGGGAGAGGGGAGCAGGACCCCCCCCCCGCATTGACCTACCCCTGTCGCTACGCCATAATACAAAATCAGTTAAAGTTAAGAATAAAATGTATATTAATACATTCAGGTACTGACCAAAATGTCTACCCTTCGTTCACGTGTATTGCCAAAGAGCATCATATCACATAGTAGACTCTTTTATTGTTATACTTTAAGCAAGAGAACAAATTATATTTATATGTTTCCACTCTGGTTCACCTTGTTACATTTATTTCATTTCTGAAAGTTTAGTAACCGTAATTAACTATACTTTGTGTCTCTCTCAGTGACTTATTACGTGTTCATGATCGGGTCATCATGATCAATCTATTACAAAGATTATAGCTTGATTTTTTTTTGGTACAATCATAACAATCGGATGGTGATAGCCAAGCCAAAATAAATATATTGACCATCTCTTTGTTATTTCTTAAATATCTTTTAAATGAAGCAAAGTAGCGTGATTTTCTACATTATGTGCCTTTATGCAGCTTTATTGATTTTTTTTTACTGTACAATAAAATACTGCACGAATTATATTTCTAAGAATGAATGCCATTTGCAATCGATTTCTGCAAGGCGTGTATAAAATTGTTTTTACTTTTACAATAGTAGTATTATCGCAGTGAAATAATCTTGATACGGCAAGAATCGGTTGTGAACATTTCCTTGGCATGCTGGACATGCTAAACATGGATATTAGATCATGTAAATGCCTCAGATGTATGACATTTGGTTCTACACACCCTTGTTGCCAGATTATTATAAACAAATCATCATTTTTTGTTGTTAATCATCTTTCCTCAGATGATCATTATAGCATATCTTTATAATACACCCCCCTAAGAGAACATGTGCGACCCTGACAAATTTGAGTAATTTTTAAATATTTTTGTTGAGCGAGAGCAAGTGATGTTTGAGATATTTTAGAATAATAATGATAAATGATACCGTAACGTTTTTGTTCTTGCCTCAGATGTTTTGGATGCGGCATACCTCCTGCCACAAAATGGCTTATCGAAATCTTCAGAATAAATTTATCATGATTTCTTTTAATTTTAGTTGTTATTCCAAACAAATAACGAGGGGTATTCAAGGTCAATACAAAAAAGTTGTAAAGAAAATTCTGTATGTAATCTATTTTTCTAAGGAGTGTACGGTCGCATGCATATAAGGACAACAGTTCCTATACTCTATATTTATTTAATTAGTGAGAGTGTTGGAAAGTTTATTGTTATTTATTTGATTAGTGAGAGTGTTGGAAAGACCATTCACTATACCCGTGTTGTTTACTCATAACCAATGAAGCATTTTCATTGACAAATTTAAACCCACCGAGCAGTGTTTGGTCAGTTTGATGGATTATTCTTTTGACCGCATCTATTTTTATGAATTTCCCCCGAGAACAAATGGTTTGTTGTTGACGAAGCGCACGTCCAAGCTCGATTGACCTTGTCAAATTAATCATATTGTAATGAGGGCAAAAGAAAACTACACAGAGGGTGTAATCGCTCGGTTGAAGTCAGTAACAGGGGCGTTTCAGAAGGGGGGCAGGGGTTGCATAATTTTCTGTATGTAGCACTTTTTTCAAAGACATAGCACAGTTCAAGGTGGAAATATTAAGCTAGAATCGACATATTGACGTAAAATGCAATAATTTTATGCATATAGTTTCAGCCGGTCGTTATATCCGCTTTAATGTTTGTCAAATCGATTGAATTTTTAATTAGAACCCCCGGTACATACATTAGTTGTTGCTTATCAGAAAGGTCTCGGGCAAGCGTTTGGGTCATCAGACGGACGAGACGAAGGCGCTTATTTTTTTTCCTTAAAAAATTCCAATATATATTACTAAAACTGGTCCATACCGCTTTAATTGCTATCCAACATTTTTCGTGAAATCCTGAAGGTCAAAGGCTTGATAATACAATGCAACCGTATAATTATATGCTATCATCATTAACGGTTAAAGAGAAAGTTGAGTTCTTGGGAAGGTGACAATATAGTTCTGTGCACCTCCTCATTCTTTTTATTCCTGTGTGAAAGCATATGATAGTAAAAATGTCAGATGAGCAGGATTGGCATTGAATTGTCCCAATATTTTAAATATGACTAGGAAAAGCTTTAATATTTTAAAATCAAATATTGGTGCCAAAATAATTATGTAGCCCCATATACCCATTTCTGCGTGCAGTCCGTTTCACTGGGTTTAATTTCCACCGAGGCTGCATGGGTCAATTTATTGTAATTGTGATGATCCAATAACCGTCATAATGGACACAATTTTCTAATACCATTCATCTTCTCGATAGCTTCTTTTACAATCCAGTGGGAATGACCAGAACCCAACATTATCTTCAAGCTAAAAGAAATATAGATCGTGTCTGTGATCATAGATAAATAAATCATCGCCCTACTACTACACCACCATCATAAAGGAATTCCCTGCACGGAAATGAAAAAAGTAAGACATGCGTGCTAAAGTATAATTAACAAAAATTGCTTTGTGTACTATGCAGTATACCTTATTTATGAGTGATTGATAATTTCTGTGTTTATACTTCGTCATAGCAACACCACGGTTGAATTCTCCAAAATTAATTGTCTGCCTCATTTTCCATTCCCGTCTGAAAGCAAGCGTACGTGTTTCATTGCACAATATTCAAGTGCACCGTGCCAACAAAGCGGAGTTAATTGCATTGATGACATTCAGTGTTTGTGCACGTGATCATAAGCATGCTGGAGCATGACTAATGATTGCCAGTAATAATTCGTTAGTTATCTAAACAATCCCCTGCATCATTATGAACGACAACTGCACTGGTATAGTCTTTGGTTGGAAATTGTTAAAAAGTCATATTAAGAACGTGTTTTTTAATTCAAATAATTTTACTTAAAGTCCGTCTGCATAAGTTTAGCCAGGAGGGATTAGACCACCCTGCTGGTCACTGACATGTGGTTATCTCATCAACTCAGCTCTCAAAAGTAAAAGAGGACCATGAGGGAACAACGGGCACCGCTTATGCATTGTTTTCTATATAGAGGGAGCAAGTTGCTACAAGTAATGCAGTGGGGCTTTAAAAAAGCCCAAGTGCCTGTTGCGCGTGAGGCGTTATTTCGATTACGTAATCCCAATCCTATGAAGGTAAATAGCTTATACTCACATAATATTAATTTTGGAAGATGTCGCTCTCACTGGCACGAAGCGTCAGAGACAGCGTCAATCGTTGATGCAGATCTACGTCAATAAGTCATGTTGTGCAAGACGGGCACTGAATGTTGCATAAACGTTTAAAATGGTCGTTAGTGATGTCATATACATTCGCAATTTTTTGATTTGGTAGAAAAATAACGTTCATGATGTTTGATTTAAAGAAAGGTCTTTAATCTATACTTTGAGAAAGTTTGGTCACTTCTTGGCCATTTCCATATCGATTTTTTAAATTTTAGTTCTCGCGTAATCACTTTAAAATTAAATCATGTCTCGAATACAATCGCAAAGATAACAATAGTATTCAGCATTTCTTTCAGTACACCCTTTGATTAAAGATCAACAATTACTATTGTCCTGGAATAACATTTCTTTGGTCTTTAGCATTTTACGAATAAAAGCAAATGTCATTTCATTTGAAACATATTTTGCAAAAATGAAATTTTCTCTACAGACCTTTTAGATTGATATTATTCGCAACCTTTTCATCATCTAGACGTGTATTTTTCTTTTAATTACAAAAATGGTTAGACAGGCAGAGAGTTCAGTTAAGAGGTTGTATTTTTCATTTGATATATTTATATTTTATTGGTATTTGTGTATTACGAATGGAATGAATAACTATCCAGCTAATGCGTTTATATTTGCATGTTATCCATCTCCCTATATCACTTCGACACAACATCGCTATTCAGTCCATCGAATTCAAGGATTCTTGTTCCGTGTGAAAATATATTCTTGAGTACACGTATGGAACTGATAAACGTAAATCATATGAATGCCAATATTTTAATCATTATTATCATCATAACGTTTCTTATATTTTTAGGAGAGTATCAAGACAAAGATGCAAAAGTATCGTGCAAATGTTCATTATGTATGTACATGTTTAAAGAATTAAATCTATTTATCAAAATATATATGTGTTTGTAGTATCCGGTGTATTGGTAGCATATGCATGAGAGAGAGAGAGAGAGAGAGAGAGAGAGAGAGAGAGAGAGACATATAGATACATAGAGAGTGAAAGACGGGGAGGGGAGAGACAGAGAGAGAGAGAGAGAGAGAGAGAGAGAGAGAGAGAGAGAAGGGGGCAGAGAAAGGGGGGGGGGGTGGGTGTTGCATAATTTTCTGTCTGTATAGCACTTTTTTTCTTTTTTCAGAGTCTAATGATAAAATACCCTCCTCGTAATGCTCATTTTTTTAATTATTCCCTTCCTGATATTATACTTGTGCCTACTTTATCCGTTTATCACTGTTGGCACATCATTTACAAAATTCGCCATCTTGGAGATAATCCTTTACCGTGCCTTGTGTACACCGAATCGATACTCATAACAATGAAATATAAGATAAGAAAAGATAGTTGAAAGGACGGGACTTGATATTGATTATACATCGTCCGTCCCCTTATTTTTTAGATCGAACTTTCACCTTTCGTAACAGTTTCAGGGCTTTTCAAATGTTCTTTGCTGTTTTTGAAACGTTGTTTGTTTTTATTGTGTCATTTTATACTATAGGAGGAATCGCATACACTCTTTTAAAGTCGTGTAAGAAATGAGAGATATTTTTGTTTAAATTATGAAATAATTCTGGTTGTGAAGATGACGAGACTCATTTGATGGTACAGTCTTGATGTTTACAATTTGAACAGTGATATCGAACCCGTCATTAGGTAAGTACATATACTGGAGTCAATATGATTGATGATTTGCACTATCTCTTATGAATTACATTTGCGATGATGATGATTTGATCGAGTTATTTAGTTGTTTCCAACAGAACGCCTATACACCACAAATTTCCAGTTTTCTATTACAGACGTGTAAAGTCTGACAGACATGAGCGCTATACAAGAACCCACTATTGTCATTATTATTATTTTTAAAGTATCCTGATGCCACAAAGTGAATGTAGCCTACATAGGCCTACACGCACAATCCACGTGTTAAGATAAAGACATTACACTGGATGATACTCCCGCTGTCAGCAGCTGCTGATAATGATTGTAAAATGCTAGAACATACCAAAGGGCGCAGCCCAGACCTTTTTGGATGGATGATATTAAACGAGTCTGCGACAAGTTAA